GTCCTCCTTCTTCTCGGCCTTCTCTTTCTTTTCCTTCTCCTCCTTCTTCTCCTTCTTCTCCTTGTCTTTTCTGTCCTTCTTCTCCTTCTTGGACTCCTTCTCCTTCTTGGACTCCTTCTCCTTCTTGGACTCCTCCTTCTTGGACTCCTTGGACTCAGACTTCTCTTCCTTCTTCACAACGGGCTCCTCTTCCTCTTCCACCTTGTCGCTCTTGGACTTATTGTCCTTCTTCTCCTCCTTATCCTTGGACTTGCTCTTCTTTTCCTTCTTCTCCTTCTTCTCCTTCTTCTCGGTTTTGGCGATTTCCTTGTCCTCGGACTTCTGCTTCTTGGAAGGCTTCTCTTCGTCGTCATTCTCTTCCTCCTCGCGCTTGCGTTTCGAGTCCTTCTTGCTGTCGGCCTTGGAAGACTTTTTGGATTTCTTCTCCTTCTTGGACGCTGCCGACTCGGTCTCCGCAATGACTTCAGCGGGCTCGGAAGCAGCAGCAGCAGCGACTTCCTTGGTCTTGGGCGCCTTCTTTTCCTTCTTCTCCTTCTTGACCTTGTGCTCTGATGTTGAGACGCCCATTGTGAAGATTGGCTATTAAGAACTGGATATGAACATTAGTTGAGATGATCCTGTTAAGTGATTAGATATGGCCATACCGTTGCGGAATAAAATAAAAACTTGCTCAAAGTCCTTGAAATACTAATTTGAATCTTCCTGGTACGAAGTAAATCGTGAAATAACTTTTGGCGCTGGTGGGTTGAGTTTCAATTTGCAGGTTGAAGGACGAAAGAGGCTTGAGGAAGAAAAGAAGATAAGAAAAAGTTATTGGAGCAGCATACAACCCTAACCCTACTGAGCGCTGATATGAGTTGCGATAGCTCTACTACAAAAGAGCTAAGAACAAAAAGGTAACAAACGATGCCAGTACGGATAAAACTGAGTGGTTGATTGTTGATAGGTACATAAGAAGACTCATAGTTTACCCACATGGATTGATTTGTTTACGACGGTGTATAACGTGCAAAGTTTAGTCATTACGATCTTGAAGTCTGTGGAAGCCATAGAGATGACCCAAACCAAAGGCAAAGTGGAAACGATGAACGATATTTGGGTATCTGAACCGGCCATACAATAATATTTAACAAATGCGCCCCGAGAATCCTTTCATGCCCATCTCTGCTGCGCTACACCCAATAATAACTCCTCAGCACTAACGGCCCGGGCTAAGGGGCCGGTTGAAACCGCCGACACGGTTCATGTACTGGCGATACTCAGTCTTCTTCTCCTTCCGCACCGCACCAACGTTGTTGCCCTTGATCTTCTGGTTCTTGGTTGTGCCAAAGCCGCCAAAGCCCATCATGGAGGCCATATCTCCCAGGCCATCATCCTCAACAACCACGTCTTCTTCCTCGTCCTCATCCATGGGATCGGCGTCGAACCGTCCCCTCGACATGTGTTCCTCTTCGTGCTCTTCCGTCCGCTCCCGGGATGACTGGTGCTGCTCCTCCACGTGCGTGCTATCGGATCGGCGTTGGTCGTGTCCCTTAACCTTGAACGACACTGGTACCGGTGCTGGTGCTGGTGCCGCGGCAGCAGCTGGGGCGTTCTCGGATTTCGACCTTATCGAAAGACGGTGATCGTCGTGTGCTGTTGCTGAGTGTGTGGGGCTCCGTGGTGACTTCGTGTGGTGTTCGAGCTCCCGGGGCGGTGAGGCTGAGCGGCGGATATTTCTGTCTTTTGAAAGGTCTCTTCTGTCTTTCGGGGCGTCAGTGCTCCTGTCGGTGTTGCTAGCGAAGCGAGAAATGGTCCTGTGATGGGGGTGAATTCGGTTGCCAAACGTACCTCGGTCTGGTTTGCTCATGCCATCCTTATCTGCGTCACCCCGATCACGGCGAGAGTCTTTGGCACCGTCGCGCCGGCTTCCTCTACCTCCGTCTCTGACTCTCTCGTCGCGTCGATCGTGTCCGTCTCTGTTACGAATCGGGGAGCGCGAACGCCTGCGGTCACGGTCACGATCCCGCCCATCGTGCCTGTCTCTCGATCTGGACCTGTATCGTCGGCTGTCTCTGTCGCGATCATCTCGTCCACCTCTGCCTCCTCCCCGACCACGGTTACGGTCATGGTCTCGGTCTCTATCGCGGTCGCGGTCTCGGTTGTCTCTGCCGTGTCTGTCTCTGTCGTTATAGTCTCTCGCGCCGCCCCCACGGTGAGGGTTACGGTTATGTCTATCCGCCATGGTTTGTGCTCGAGTGTCCCAAATGTTGGATAATTGTAAGACTTGTTGAGAAAGAATGAAAGATTTCAATCGCAAATTGAGTGTTCTTGATGACGTTGTATGGAGAAATTCTGGAGCCTTCAAGAAGAGGCGGCGGGCTGAAACTAGGCGAAAGCTGCAGGCCGTTGTAGCTTGCAAGGCTGGATGCAGCCGCCGATCGTGTGGAGTCTGATTCCTTGGAAGCGATAAGATAAGCCATGTACCCTTGCACCTACCCCACCACCCCGCGTTGAACTTCCCAAGCCTTCAGGGTTCTCAATGCACTGACGGTGATGTCCTGCTCGAAGCATCTGTGAATATACCGGTAGGAATACCTCTACTTTCAGTCCCAGGCCGTGTCCGGAAATCAGATTCATTCGTGGATTTGGTTCGAACCGTAAGAGACCGGGCTTTCAGTAACTGCTATTCGGGCGATTAGCTTTTGTCTTGTGAGGTTCATCATTCTGGTCAAAGATGGAGTACAGAATAAAATGGTACAGTACCTCGTCAAGACCTCATTATGCCAGTTAAATCGTTGTAAACATCTTGAGCCAAGACATGCTTTCGCCTGGTCGATCGTGTGATCAAGGCAATGCCCACTCTGTGACCAGACATCCCTCAAATCTCATCCTCCTCGTCATCAAAATCGTCTTCCCTCCCCATGTCATACAGAATCCGGCCTCCCTCTCCTCCACCGACCTCTGTCTGCGCGTCAAAGTACGGCAAAACAATCCCCTCCCTATCACTCCTTTGCTTCTCCGTCAGCCCCAAGCTGAACGTAGTATCCGCCATCTCTCCCTCGCCACCGCTCTCCGTGTCCTTTTGCGGCGCAAACAGCGGGTGATCCGAAAGCAGTGATAGACTCGCCCCGGCACCTCCCTTTTGACTTGAAGGGCTCAAGATGAACCTCTCAGCCACAGCTCTCCCGCTGCGCCTCCTCATCTCCATTTCCACCACGAGTCCCTCCGCTTGATGGCCCGTCCGCAGGCCAACAAGCACGCCTTCGCGCCCTTCGTGCAGTCCCCACTCTGGCTCGCGCAAGCTACGCATTTGTGCCCGCTTGGTCTCGACGGCCTGGTAGAGACTCGAGACTTTGAAGATGGCGGTGGCCATGTGTGACAAGAGAGTGAGCGGATGGGGTTCGTGCTCGTTGACGGTTCGCGGGAGGACGAGAGGGACGTCATTGTGGTAGACGGCGACGAGGGAGGCGAAGGGGTTGATGATGCTGCCGAAGAAGAGGGGGAGGGCGTGCGGCTCTTTCGAAGCGAGGGGGTTTAGTGAGTCCACTATGATTAGAAACCCTGAAGTATTGTTAGCTCATGTTTTTTTCTGTGCGGGTGTGGTGAGTGGAACTTGCTCTGTGAGTTTGTGGCAGCATCTTTGGGTGTTTGGCCCTTGGGAGGAGCACACTGTGAGGTGATCTCGGTTATGAGAGCCTGGACTGACTTCCCCCGTGCCTTGATGAAGATATCGACATCACGGGGCTTTCTGACAGTTGTGAATGAAACGAAGAGCACTTTACTACGAGCAAGCTGTACGCGCGTCAGCTGATGAAGCGCAAGGGTAAAATAACGGGAAAGGAACTTCTTACCTTGCCTCTGCTGATAAATTCCTGTACGAGAGGTCCTACACCTTGCTCCAGGGTATCAAGAATAAGTGTGAGTGGGCTTGCGCTGTCTCGGAGATTCAGCAGCTTCTGAAAAAGTAGCAGGCTGTGAGAGCGATGATGCGTTTGAGCTGAGGGCGCCATGTTGACGCTCGGCAGATGTCGTGGAGGTATATCTGGACCAGCCTCGTGTAACTTGCGGGAAATAGTGAACGATCTAAAAACAGATTAGATCTATCTGCCTAAGCGTATTGCGAAGAATTGTTGTGTCGTGAATTCAAGTTGTTGCTTGTCGCTGGAGAGAGAAGGTTGGACGTACTGGCCAAAAAATCGATTTTAGGGCGGCGATTGCGATGATCGCAGCTCTTGCATCCTTCCCGCCATCATCATTCGCACCAAAACTCTCGGTCACATTTTGTTCGTGGCTGCAAATCAGCAAATTTGAAAGAATCATGAAGTATCAGTATACCGGTAAAATAAAAGTAAAAGGAGAAACAAGCCGCATGAAAGAGAATTAAGGGATGTTCAGAATGCGCGCAAAAGTTCACTAAAAAGCAAAAGACTGGTCTCTCCCGCCGGGAATTGAACCCGGGTCTCGAGCGAATCGAACTGATGTTCAAGCTTGACAAGCTCACATACTGACCACTATACTACGGAAGATCTACAGTTGTGATCAACTGTCGTAGTGATTGTTGAAAACTCATCCCCACCTAGCCTCTATATAACCTTTTCTACCTTGCACAACCGAATGTCTTTCATTTTTGTCAGCAATGTTTACCACGAGTGCCATAGTCATTGATGTGCCAGGGAAGCTTTCTGGCTTAGTATCACTTGTAGATCCATTTGAATGGGTATCGCTAATCCATGAAACCTCTAAGAACTGTCAAGAGATCTCTGCTTTTCTCCTCCGACCTCAATCCATGCTACAACGCTTCATGCTCTCAAAAAAGGGTGCCACAAAGGGATACTGCGTATGACGACTGACTCTACTCATGTCCGCCCACCGCAGATTGCATCTCCTCAGATAAAGTTATGCATTCTTGGCTCCAGGGCTTTGAACCTTTGATGGTGGCCACTTTAGGTTTCGCGAAACACCACCCCAGTTCAACTCTGGGATCTGTACATTCTTCATAGTTGGGATGATACATAGTTTACTGGTAAATGTGCCTCTGGTTTCAAGCCGGGGGTCTTCGAAAGCGACTTATCGACACCAGGCTTCCTCGTTGACGCACCGTGTTCAATTATTTGAAGCAATCAATCGGCCTCTTGTGGTATTTCGAACCGTAATGCGGTATACTGCGCTCCGTTCGGGTTGGAAGTGCTCCCGGCGATGTGTATGGAAGTTCCATTCGCCTGGATTGCATCGACAGATGCTGAATTGACAGGAGACACGTCTTGCACCGCTGAAGCGCCCTTAGCGCGTCCAGAAAGGGCTGGAATACAGTCAGTATCAGGACATTCTTGCCATGGGCGAACATGGACTTTACCTTTGTGCTGTCCATTTGCCATCGCATTGTCTCCGGACGTTGTTTCAGCGGGATCTCGCCCGAATGTCTCGTTCTTCCGATTGGTTTTCTGGAGCAACCCCTCTGGGATCTTCGTTGCCCAATCGTTCTCAAACTCCTTTCTAAGAAAATCATCATAGTCGCCTCGTTTGTGCTTCTCATGGGCGACCCATGCCTCCTGAAGCCAGTGCTCATCATGCCGACCCCGCTCAATGTTTTCAAGGTACCGAGCACAATCATATCTGAAATGGTCATTGTTGCGCAAAGAGACAAGATCCGGTCGAGCATCCTCCGTCCCTGCATTCAGGATATGGCCGTCGTCGGGGAATTTGGCGAGAATGTCTTTCCTCTCCTCTGGTGTCAACACGTCCCATGCTTGTGGGAGCAGCAATATGGCCTATGTTCAAGTGTCAGATCATAACTGTAAGATAAAAATTCTGAAAGAGGGAAGAGGTACGAACTCTGAGATCAGCATTGGTGAGAGGGGAGTATTCATCGGTATAGACGAAAGGTGCTTCCCACTTTTTGTCGATGTTTGTTCTCCTGGGCACTGCTCCAGCCTGTCGTGGCTTTTTGGCACTGGTAGGTTTGGCCTGGTCCGATGCTTTACGCTTCCTAGGCTCAGTATCCGGTTGCACGTCACTGCTTACAGAACGATGTGTGCCTGTTGACTTCTGTGCACCATCGTTTGGAACAGCTTCCTCTGGCGTTTGCCAATTTGCATTGATCGATGGATCAGTAACTGCTGCTGCTCCGTTTTCCGGCATATTGACTTCTCCATCGACTGCCAGGTTCTGTACTGCAAAATAGGCGTGCGAACTCGGCGGACCCAGGGATTTTGGCTCGCTCCCATGCTCGTTATTAGACAATGCTGGACGAGTCGCTGTTGAAATTCCTTTCCGCGGCTGTTCAAAAGCGTAAACGCAATGCGTACCGGATTCGGCACATCGCGAGCAGATAGGCTTCTCTTTAAGGCACTATCGAAGCTGTCAGACACAAAACAATCGGGGAATATCAGCATATCTGACCAACCTTAAGCTTGTTGTCACGGCAAGGAGTACACGCGCCCCTCGTCAGTTTCAGCTTGGTGCGTAAACCAGCCACATCCTCATTGGAATTGACTGATGCAGGCAATGTCTTTCTCTTCTTGGATACGGGACTTGATGAAGCTGATGGGGCAGCCGCTTCCTCGTCTTCTTTTTCTTCTTCTTCACGTGTCGAAGTTTCTGGCTTTCTCTTGTTGGAGACGGAGCTTGGTGCAGCTGATGGCTCTGCTGATGGCGCTGCCGCTTCTTTTTCAGGTTCTCCAGGTCCTTCAACCTTTGGCTTCTTGACAGATCGGTTTTTGGTTGCTGGCTTTTTGACTGCTGACCTTTTGACTGCCGACCTTTTGACTACCGGTCCCTCGACTGCTGGCTTTTCAGCTGATGACGCTGTCGCTTTTTCTTCACGTGCCGGAACTTCTGGCTCTGCTGATGGCACAGGCGCTTCTTCTTCCTCTTCTTCTTCGTCTTCTTCCTCTTCTCCTTCACGTGTCGAAACTTTTGGCTTTTCGTCTGATCGTGCTTTTGGTGGTGGGAGATTGATTGCCTTCCAAGATGTAGACCCTGTCCTTTCTGGTTCTCGAGGTTTGAGGTGACTAGATGGTTGAAGTCCTGACTTGTTTTCTGGAGAAGCGCTTGGTGCCGCCAACGGCGTAGCTAGTTCTCTTTCAGGTGATTCAGGTCCTTGAAACCCCGGCTCCTTGACAGCTCGTTTCTCGACTGCTGACCTTTTGGCTGCTGTTGCCTTCTTGACTGCTGTCTTTTTGACTGTCGGCTTTTTGGTTGCTGGCTTTTTAATTGCTGGTTCCTCGACTGCGGGCTCATCGACTACCGGGTCTTCTACTGTTGGCTCTTCGGCTGTTGACTCTCTGACTGCTGGCTTTTCGGCTACCGGCTTCTTGGCTGCTGCCTTTTTGACTACTGGTTCTTCGACTGCTGGATCCTCGACTGCAGGCTCTTTGACTGCTGATTCTTTGACTACTGCCTTCTTGGTTACCGGCTTCTTGGCAGTCGCCTTTTTGGCTACTGGTTCCTCAACTTCTAGTTCCTCAAGTACTGGTTCCTCGTTTGCCGGCTCTTTGACAGCCGCCTTTTTGTCTACTGGCTTTTTGGCTACCTGTTTCGCTGGTGCCTTTTTGGCTACCGGCTTTCCGACTGCTGCTTTGGCGACATTTGGTGATACAACAACCAGATCTTCGGCTGCCAGTTCCTCCAAGGGCGTCCGCCCAGAAGCACTGGTCACCTGCACAGGAGTGCCATCCCGGTCACCAGTTACGCCCCCAGGAGACGACGGGGGAGGGGAGGAGAGGGGGGAACTATTCCCTTGTTCGCTCATCCTTCAGAACGCCTTCAGTTGGTCGCCCTGCGTGAGGAGAGAAATCCGAGACTTGAGGTTGTTCGAACGCGGTGATGTCGGTTTGCCGGCAAAGAACAATCACCGTTGAGTCAGATCCGGGATTAGGTCCAAAATGCCTGTTGTTGTGATATAAACTGATACCAGATGGTAGAAATTGGCAGAGTTGCGCCGTAAAAGTCACCGTCGGTCTATCGTATGTCGATGACGGTTCATGCGGCTGATATGACTGTGGTTACATCCGCGAACAAACTGATATTTGGTGGAAGGAGAGGAGAAAGCGGGGGGTGGTGATGATGTTAGAGAATGAGATGGTGTTCAGGTGAGAGTGTGGTCAAACAAACCAAAGTGGTACTAGAGTACAAGTTGACGCGCTGGTCTGGAAGATATATGCAATGAACTTTGAGAATCAAACTGAATTAAGGTAGTTGGTGAATGATAACGGAAGTAAAATGATCCACCTCCAGCTCCCCTTCCCCGTTGGTGTTCGGTTGCGGTTGCTCCTTCCCTATTGTGTAATGGACGAGATGGATGGATGGAAGCTGAAGCTATGGCGCCAAGCACCTGCATACTTGCATGTTACACCCCGGAAGCGAGCTTGGAGATCATACTAGCCGTGAATAGCGTGGTAGGCGAGATTCGCTATTGCCTTATTATTCAACTAGACGGTACAGACTTACAGGCCCCTGAGCCCCTGCAGGTTGAGCTCTCAAGACATTTCAAGCGCCAGCATTATCGTCAATGCCCCGTTTAACGGCTTCAATCCTTATCAAAGGAGTACACATTGCAGTGGTGTGGTCGGGGGAAAGCGTTACATCACTTTACTCTCTTGTGACATCTCTTGTTCTGGGTAAAGTCAAAATAGTAAGTTAAGGATCTTTTACTCATCCGGAAGAAGAAAGACAGGCAACAATAATAGCGTCGTGGTTGTGGTAGAAGCAACGTACCCGACATCTCCAACTCCCCCAACGTCCATTAACAGGCCTGGCCGCATTGTCACTCCAGCCCGTCATCACAAGCTTCCACTTTACATCGACCTACCACGCTCCATCCAACAACACCAACTTTGACAAACCAAGAACGCAGCTGTCCCTTTTAACGGTTACACGAGGAAATCCAAGGTCGTCACCAAAGAAAGACGAACATAACATATTATTCAAAATGATCCGCTCAACACAAATTGCCCGGCTGGATGGTTCGCACCCCCTAACCAACCCCATCCTCGTTTCCCCCTTCCCACTCGATGTCAGCTAACCAACCCCCCCGCTCAAATAGGCCTCATGCTCTGCGCCTCCGTCGACGACGAAGCCACCGAATCTACTCTCGGCGAAGTCAAGTCGCAAGTGAAGCTGATCCTCCGCCGACTCACACGCACCTCGGAACCACAAGCGAGCATCGAGAGCGGCTCGCAGTACACGCTCCACTACCTGATCCAGTCCGACATTGTGTACGTGGCCATCACGGACCGCTCGTACCCGCGCAAGCTCGCCTTTACATACCTCTCCGACATCGCGGGCGAGTTCGCGACGACGCACACGCCGCAGCAGCTCATGAACCCGACGCTTCGGCCTTATGCGTTTATGGACTTTGACAGCTTCATTAGCCGCACCAAGGCGACGTACAGCGACACGCGCGCGACGCAGAATTTGGATAAGCTGCATGATGAGCTGAGGGACGTCACCAAGGTCATGACGAAGAATATCGAGGATTTGCTCTATCGTGGTGATAGCTTGGAGCGCATGGGCGAGTTGAGCAGTCGGTTGAGGGATGACAGTAAGAAGTATAAGAGGGCGGCCGTCAGGATTAATTGGGACTTGCTGCTGAAGCAGTATGGCCCTTTTGCTGCGGTGGGAAGCATCATTGTCTTCTTCTTGTGGTGGAGGTTCTTGTTTTGAGCGGATCATCACAGGCTGAGGCCATTATTTCTAGCGCGGTTGTACACGACACTGTCTGGGAGTGTTCCTCGTTCCTCCGGCTTTGAGGCTGTATAGCTCTGTGACGGATAGGCTACGTGGCTTCTATAATTATCTTAATATGGGTGTGTACGGCATCGGTTTTGTTTTTGGCGGCTTAACCTAGCATGGAGTTTGGGTAAAGGGGGGGACGAACGCAAAAAGGACGTTTGGCCGGGTGAATTTTCAGCTATTAAGACATATTCTTCCGTGTTCTTGTATTCTTCATCCGATGACTTCGCAAAGCCTGGTAGTGTCTCTACAGACTGCTGAGACCGCTATACTGCAATGTCTCCCACGCTCATCCATGTGTATCCAGGTTGACCTCAGACCGGTATTTGTCTACCCAACGCCATCCATTTGTGAGCCACTGGTACAAAACTACCCCTGAGAGGGCCTACCAGTCTTCTTCCCTATTTAAGAAGCCTGTCCCCTCCTAACTCCGGCCAAAATCGCCAGTCTTTATGGTTCCAGACAGAAATGGCAACCGCCCATCACATAACCGCACAACTTCCCGCCGCCTTCGGCAACAAAGCCGGTATACTTGGCACCGGCAACGCCGTGTGGTACCACTCCAGATGCTCCTGAAAGCTAGCCAAGTCCTCGAACCCTCTCTCGTCCTGCGCCCACTTCACCTCGTCCTCGCTGTCCTCGCCCTGATCCACGTACGTGTATTCGTCGCAGTAGGGACACCATATCCTCGCCAGCCAGTCGCCGGGGACGGGAGCGATGTGGTTTCCGATGGCTATGGGCGCGAAGACGACCGTTTTGGCTTCGCCTGTTTTGGCGCTTAGGCCATGGGCTTGCCATCTTGGGTATGTGGTTTCTATCCTCGCTGTTTCTGGTTCTGTTTCTTTTGTTGTTGTGGTTGAATGTTGTGGAAGTACTGATGGGTATGATTGCGTTACTATGGTCGGTAGAATGAGTTTCTTTGGGGAGTTGGTCGCTGCCGTCGTTGATGTCGGGATACTCGTTGTCGTATTTGTACTCCCACCACCGTTCGTCTGGTCCAATGGCGCCCTCGTAGACGGCATCCTCTGTAGATCCGGCCAGACGATGAAGCCGTCGCAAAAGTCGCAGACAAAGGCCACATCGTGCTCCCCAAACCTCTCGAATCTCCCGACCGCGTTGCAACATGGAACCAGGTCCTCGAGGCTTAACCTCCTCCCCCTTCTCAACGCTGGCCGTAACCCCTCATCTGTTGGTCCTTTCCCTTGCTGCTGCTGTTGCTGTTGCTGGAACTCATGTCGTTGCCACGGCGGTATCCTCTCGAGCTCCCTGTCCCTCTGTTGCTGCCTCACTCCTGGTCCTTCCTTAGTCTCCTTTTCCCGTTTCTCCTCCTCCCTTTGCTTCCGTACTCGCTCAGCCTCCTCATTCCTTCGCTGCTGGCGATACACCTGGTAGGCGCCCAGACATCGATTCCATGCCCCTTCCTGCTCAGCCGCGAATATGCGCCGAGCAGCGCGGCACTGTGTGCGGTGAAGCTCTAGTTGAAGTTCCTTGGTCTCGTTGAGCCAGATTGGGTTGATGGGCCCGCCTTGCCGGATCCAGTCTTGGAAGTTGCGGGCGTGGAATTCGTATTTGATCAGGAGGGCGCGCAGTTCGTTGAGGGATTCGGCTTTTTGTGAGAAGGGTTAGTAATAGAGCGGGTAATGAGAGGTTTTGTCTTGGTGGTTGTGGTGGGAAATGGATGAGTGCAGTAGTGGATGGAGGTGGTGAGTGAGAGTGTCGGGTAAAAGTCCAAGAGGTCATAGAAGGATGACTTTCTGCTTAAGGAGAGCAAGATGAGAGTGAGGAGAAATCTGGGATCTCGTCATATACTTACAAGTCCTGTCCCCTTCATAGTAGAACTGCCCATTAACCAATACACCTAGTTCCTGGAAATCCACCTTCGCATCATCCAATGCATCTTCAAGGGCGCGGATTTGTTCAAACTCGTCAGGGCCCCAGTGACGCTTGTCGGCAAATCTGAGTGCGCGAAGTGAACTGGTCAAGTAATCCGCAATGTCCTTCAACAGCGACCCGACCGTGTCGTTATTTTTGCTAGGACCTGTACTCATATCTCTTTGGTTCGCGATGGCTGCTTTGCGGGTTTATGATCTCTTTATATCGTATCCCCCTCCACCTCCTCCCGTTGATATGTTCTTTCTCAGCCGTTATCGTCGTGTTGTCGTCTTTAATTCCTCTTATCAATGGTTTGATTTCTCCGCCTAGCGCATATTCAATGCCGCTTCAGTATGTTGTAAATGACCGCAAGTAGACGTAAGCTGAATGGGCCACCAACGAGGCCCTCGTCACTAACAGAAGGTATCTCTAATCTCTACGAATGCGTAGCGCTGGTGTTGTTGTCGTCCGTTGTCATCAAGTGGATACCAAGAGCTCCGGTCCGGTAGCTGTAGTATGTACGGAGGAAGTGAGGAAGATGTTCACCATGGAGTTGGAGATGTGAGAAAGGGGTCCGGTCAGAAACGAAACATCACATGGAAGACTCGGTCGCCCAGGAAGGAAAATGGGGATGGACGGGATGTTGAATCGTCGTGCAACGGGGTTCGGGGCCCGGGCGCTTGGAAACGATCCGACGGTTACGGCGGGATCTAAGCTATTGGAAGGGCCCTGTGGATCTCTGCTTGGCAGAAGCAGGCAGACGTGGAAGCCGCTGTGCAAACATAACAGTGGAAGATGTTGCTGTGGCAGCGGAACAACGGGTGATATTAACAGGGTCTGTAATTGTTCCTCTTTCTGATCCTGATGGGGAATCAACATGGGCGGCCTCTGACGGGAGACTCCCAAACTTCTCAATATACTTGGGGGTTGGAGAAAAGTGGGGCATTTTGTCAACCTCTTCTTATAAAAGAAGAGGAAAAATTTTCGTACGATTACCTTTTATTATAGGACAAATCTCATATAAAATGGCGAATAAAATAATTATTTATATAATAAATTATTACTTTACAAATCAATATAATAGTATCCAAAGCTATAGAAACTTCTAATATTACTCAATTAAGTAGTAAGCAAATAAATAAAATCATTGCAAGCTTTGTTTATTATTTTCCAAACTTAGTATTAACGTGTGGCTAGTACTATATCTTGTAACTACCTTATACTACCTTGTAGTATAAAAGGCTGATTGAACTATTCCTTCTACGAAATCAGTTTACTCAGCCCCCACAGAACGTGCTAGAATACAAAGGTTTTGCCACTGTATTCTGGAATTCTCTAACTTGTTCAGCATTCCTTCTAGACTGATTTGTCATCATAAAATGCACTAGAAGCTTATAGACTCAGTTCATTCCTTTTATGGTATAGTGTTCTTACAAGCAGTCTTATTGACTTACAGAAGCTTAACGTTCGTGTATATAAAGACTTCTTCTCTCCTTTAGTTAGTCACTTCTTAAGCAAGCAAGCAAGCACAATTCAAGCAATACAATACAGTCTACTCCTATAGTGCAGAGTTCACTATAATAGTTGTTTCTCACAGTGCAGAGTCCAATGTACTCTTCTGTCTTGAGAGTAGAGTTTTCTCTAAGACCTCTTTTACAATATCCTCCTATTGTCTTTGCTACTACGCTGCTTCCTTCAGTATTGCTGTTGTACTTTCTACCGCTTCCGCTCCGCTCTACTACAAGTACATAGTTCACTGTAGCATCTCTATACTGGTGCTATTCTTATAAGCCAGTTAGGACATTGCAGCAGATAATTAGTATAAATACAAGTATAAATATAGGGATAGAAGTTAGTGCTTCCTTTATTAGCGTGATTTTCTTGACAATTACTTTTACTCTTATTAGTGTATTCTTTAGTGTAGCTTGGTTTTGTACTTTTATTCGTGCCTCTATACAAAGTTTTACTTTGGATTTTACTAATTTCAAGACCGATTATGATAATATTCATTAGAAAACTTACATAGGTACGAGAGCGAACATGAAACCAAAAGTAAAGCAAAATAATATAAAAGTAGAAGTAATTAAGCAAAATATTATAGAAATTAATACAACTATTATTAATAATTTAATCCGTATAAGAAGTTTAAGAATACTAAATTAAAATATTAATTGAGTTTAATTATTGTCCTTCTCTCTATTATTATTTTTCCTATCATATACTGTTTTAAATATCATTTTATTATCATTATCATTATTAATACAAGTACTCTCGTCTTTGATTATAGAAGCAATGACTTATATATTAATAATAGCAGCTATTGAAAAGGTGGTTTCTACTTGTAGTAGGAGTGGCCGAGGAAAGGAGGATGGGACTTCTAGTAGTAAATTAAATATAGATAGATTATTACTTATATTAATATTTAGTAAATTACTACTAAAGAAATTGATAAATATTTTTAATTCTCCTCCTATCACCCGCTTGAAAGAGTCTAATATTAGTATACCTTGTATATCAACTATAAAGAACTCTCCATTATTATCTTCTTTATCTTCGTTAATAATATGTTCGTTAAAAGTAAATATGAAACTATTATTGATTCGCTTCTATTTCCAATTATTTTAATATACTTTCTTATAGAGCTTCTTTTTACTATCTTTTTCATTCTTTGCCTACTTATTATTTACCTACTTCTTTATTTCGTAGCCTCCTACTTCAATAGCTTTAATTTAACACTTTAAATTCTGCTACTATTCTTTAATCAATCTTTTTATAACTTTCTAATTGAATTTGCCTTTAAATAAAAATAGAATTTTGCCCTTTCTAACCTCAAGTGTAAGGGTTCTACGAGGTATACACACAGGTAGGCCTTGGTGAAAGTGATAATATTCGACAAAGAGAAAAAGGGAAGTCTGTGCCAGTATGGCACGGAGCTTACAGCTAAATACACAAGAGAGGTGCGTATATCGAAGGTGCTAGAAACGCCAAGGTCGAAAATGTGGTTCGTGCGGCATACCCCAGGAGTGCACCCAGTCAGAGGGCAGGCCTGGCTTTCATAGAGTCCAAGCCAGGCAAACACCCCTAGGCGCCAGCCCCATGACATCAAGTACTTCTATTACCTGTTATTCTATTTAATAGTCGAAGTTAGCGGCCTTCTTTCTATTTTGATAGTTGTATTTTTAAATCTTATTATAAATTGAAAGAAGTTTATAAATAAGAATTTCAGTATCGTAATAACGGATTGAAATAAGTAAATTGAAAGCATGGTAGTATTCATTTTTCAATATAAATAATAATTTCAACGTCCTCTTTAAAGCGGTTCTTGTTAAGAAATAGCAACAGCAAAGCGGAATTGGATTATTTAAATTACTTTATCTAAATGTAAAACAAGATTCAATTTCAATTAATTAGCTGCATCCTGGTATTTTTAAAAGCTATTAAAGATATTATAAATACTAGATTATTATCGATAATATTTCAAAAAACCAAGAATAATATAATCAGTAAAGGGATCACAAAAGGGACAATAAAGGAAATATAAATAAATTATTGATTTTTAGCTGCTTTATAAATATAATACGTATAAAGTTAAATTCGCTTTACTAAATCAATCATTTTAATACTTATTAATAGTAGAATTTGAAGAACGAGGATATTTTGATATTGAATAACTATATTATTGTGACAAGGGCGGTGTTGAGCTTGGAACAGTAGTTCAAATTCAACTAATAAACTACTTTGGTCTCGAAGGCCTTATTGAATCCTTTCAAACCTTTCATCCAGGCTGGACTTCCTGGCCTTCTTATGCCAAAGCCTTCCTTCCTTCTAATAGGTACGTACATCTTCCTATCGGCCTAATCTGGCCGCAAAGCCACAATGCATCTATCTAGTGTGCACTATTGTGCTTACATGTGGGTCTTCTTAAATAGCTTCCTTTAGTGTTCTTCTTTCATGGCCTGGCTAGCGCGGCCTAGCGTGGAGGCAGTGCAGGCGGCAGCTGTGTCGTTGGCTGAAATACGCCGAAGGCGCTAAGAGTACTGAGGGGATTCCAGGTAAGTCGTGCCGTTGAAGGAACAGACTTCCCGAAGGGGAGTGTAGCCTAGTTGCTTGAGACATCCAGCTGTGTGGCAAGGCTTGAGGTTCAGCCGTGCGGCTCTTGGGGAGATTAGTGGTATTGTCGAATGTCCGTGTGACAATTATATAGATTAAGTAGTGTCACAGGTTGACATTGGCTATATAGTGTGCATTCCGAGTTCTGCCTTGCAAGCAGAACATCGTCCTATCTTTTGTAGGTTTGGCCGTCCGGGCATATGCACCCCAGCCTGTCACAAGTAGAGAAGTAAACTTGTCAAAATAATATTCAACGTTTTAGTATACTATTTAACTTCTATACTACAATAGCTACTAAACCTGTCGATAACTAATAGACGATAAATAGATTTGTAAAACCTTTTTAATTAGTAGTATTATTAAAATTTAAAATCTTCCTACTAATAGATCCTGTTCCATATTAATTGTAATAAAATTAATTTTAAAATATATATATATATATAAAAATATATATATATATATATATATTGTCTTATCACGCTAAACTATTTACATAGTCTATCCAGTGGGTATGCGGTACTGCTTTCGTTCATAGTCGGTGGGAAAAACCGTACCGTAGCCGGATGAACACCCTCCGCTTCTCTATTGCAACGACGCCGTCGTCGACGCCGTGCCTTCGATGTTTATCTTCCTCTCGGTATAACCTCACCGTCATTCCCGAGGCCCGATCTTTGATTCCGCTGCGTGATTCCCCGACCGTACTCCCGCTCTCCAGAATCAAAGATCAATCTGAATTCCCTAGTAGCTCTTCTGCTTTCTTCGCTTGTTCGATCTTCACTGCCAGCTTGTACTCCTGCAGTCGTCCCAGTCGCAAAGCCCAGCGAAGGATTCGTTCCGCCCCCGCCACTGTCTCGAGTTCGTCGTGGAGTTGTTCAATGTTTGTCGGCCACGTTGGGTCTCTGATACGGGAATCGTGGGATTTACACTCAATACAGGAGGTCACGAGAGTGAGGCCATATTGTGTGTAAATAAAGAGTAAAAGAGAGATTGTCTTGGAAGAAAGGCCTGGCTTCCAGCCAGCCGTCTGCACGCAGTAGATATGCAGTGCAGCGAGCTAAGTGGCTCGAGCGCAGGGCAACGGCTGGGCAGGCACCAGAGCCTCCATGGCAGCCCAGTGTCACAGGTTGACATTGGCTATATAGTGTGCATTCCGAGTTCTGCCTTGCAAACAGAACATCGTCCTATCTTTTGTAGGTTTGGCCGTCTGGGCATGTGCACCCTAGCCTGTCATAAATAGAACCTTATAAAGGGACAGCAAGGTGCTCAACCAGGATTACGTTTGACCCGTATTATTGGTGATGGGAGTCCCCTAGTATCCTCTGTCCGAGAGAATGAAACGGGGGTTAGGAGACGGGTTTGTTTGTAAAATGTGGGGATCGCGCATATCTTGGCGGGGCGCATTTAGGTGCCCCTGAACGTCCTGGACAGGACAGGGCATTATGTATATAGCCATTTCCAGATCCCACGAGCCCTTCATTTCCCGAAAACAATCAGTTAGCAGTTGACATCTGCCTTACCTATGGCCCCCGGCTTCGACGACGGAGAGGGGAAAACATCTTACTATCCAATGGATAGCGGTTGCAACCCACCCGATGCTCAGCCCTACAACTAGAGATGACCGACATCATGGTGGGTATAAAAGCTGACACCCTAAAGCTGTATATATATACACATATTACACTCGTGCAACGTTATGACTGCCGTCCAGCTTGCGCCTATCTCCCACAATACAGGCTTATCATTGACCAGCGGTGGGTGCCCTACATCAATGGCCTAAGCTTCCACGGAAAGCATGAGCTCACAAACAGGTGCATATTCTTCTTCATTAGTATATATAGGTTAAGACTTTTGGGTACTATTCTCCAAGACCCTGAGCACCATTTTACCCTGGTGCATCGATGTCGGACGAGTCTGATATCGTGCTTCGTCAAGTTCACTTCCTCTTCTTCGCCTTGCCAGCTTCCACTCCGCTAGCCTTCTCGGATGCAGTTCCCACAATCTGCTCCTCAGACGGTGCAGGAAGGATCGCCTTCTCCCCTTCAGCTTTCTTCTCCTCAACGGTATCATCCTCACCACCCTGTCCGAATTCGTTGACGCGGGTGTAGTCGACCTTGTATGCCCATCTCTGGTACAAGTAGATGAAGAAAATGATATCGTCACGGAAAGTAGCAAGACGATGGAGGAAGGGCATCTTGATGGTAAAAGCAAACAAGTCGTCGATGAAGGTGTTGAGGAACTTGTACATCATGGCCTTGCCAGGCATGTGAGCAACGCTCTTGAGACGGTAGTTGATGTACAGCGAGGGAACCATCATCAGGAATCCATATGCGTAAACCGAGCCGACGAGGGTGGCGATGACGAAAGAGTACCACGACTTGTGGGTGTCGTAGATGAGCGAGTAGATTGCATAAGCGATAAGGAGAGGAACGCCCGCAATGTACATGTACTTGAAAGCGATTTCATCGTACTCCTTCGTCTTTTCCTCTGTCTCGCTGAGCTTGTGCTTGTCCTCAAAGGAGATACGGTATGGTATGATGGATCCAGGCGCAGGGCGAATCCGCACGTTGACCACCGTCGTGATCTTCCATAGCTCAATAAGAATACCAACGCCCTGGGAGCCGAGAATCATCCAGCTAGTATTCTGCGACTGGTCGACCAGATACAAGAAGATGATGAGTTGCATAAACACATTGGCGAGGATAGAGCGCACCGAGATGCCAACGTTGTCCTTCTTCTTGCGGTAATGAGCGATGTCGGAACCGAACGCAAGCGTTTCGAGAATCATGTGCGCAATACTGGCAAAGATGGTGATACCGAGAAGGATGGGATTGGAATCCAGGAAGATTTCCTTGATCATTTCGATCTCGCTACCATCGCTGCCCGTGGTCAGGGGATTTCCGAAAGCCGCCGCACGCGCCGCTTCCTTGGCACTGAGGTCGATGGAAGCCATCGTCTTGAACTTCCATTCCGCCAAGTTGTTCAGATCAATGCGCATGGGCATGGTCTTGATCGTCTCGTTGATGATGGTCATCTGACTCTTGAGCTGCCAAAAGGTATTGACAAAGAGGATCGGATAATACCAAGTGTTCTGGCCGGTGCCGTCCCTCGCGCCGGTGGCCTCGAGGCGGAGGAACTGGCGAACAGCTGGGTGCGTCTGGGCAAAAGGCATCGAACCGGTATTGGGGATGAAAGAGAGCGAGATGTTGGGGTGGTAATAGTTGGTGATGATGGGCCCTGAGGGTTGCTCTTCTGGCACCTCCTCTACCTCCTCAACAGCGTCCTCCTTAGCAGCAAGTAGGCTCCTGGTCTTGAATTCCTTCTTTCTGGGGATGTAATGGGTCAATGGCCACACGAAATGGTATGCAGAACCGGGATCGTAGTTGGGCAGAGTAGGGTCGAGGAAGGCGCCGGACAAGCCAACATAGAAATGACCCCAAAGCGTGCCATTCTTCTGGACCTCGGTGGGGATATCAATAGTCCTTTCCTCGGTACGCGCGTCGGTCCAGTTGCCGATTGTGAACTTCTTTTCCTCAAACACCACCTTATCCGCCGAGGTCTGCTTCAACGGGGTCGGAACGAAGGATGGGGAGATGGTGACCATGATATCAACCTGGCTGTTCTCGGGCCAGATGGGCGCAATGATCTGAGGAACTCGGTTGTAGACGGCGCCATCATCGAGTTGCTGGGGACGTTGGTCGTACGAAGGAAGGCTTGTTGAGACTTGGACGGCCTGTCCGGTCGCGTCTTGAACTGTTGCTGTCTTTTGTCCACCGCCCATAAACTGCTTCATAACGAGCTGCATCAAGGCCCACATGGCAACGGCCTGAAGGATCTTGGAGAACATGGAGGACTGGATACATCGAGACCGTCAGAAGCTATTCCACGATACACCGCCCTAGCTTCCACTTTGGATTGATAACTTACGCCTTGCTGCTCCTCCTGCCGCGCAGGCTGGCGCTGGGCACCATTTCCTTCGGGCATCTTGGGAAAGTGACTGATGAAGAACAATCAAAGGATGATGATTGTTCCACTTGCGCCGAACCAAGGTGACGCTTGTAGTCTATCGCTACCGCAGGACTCTGTTGTGAAGAGTGGCCCCGGTTGTGATGGTGAGGATGTTGACGGGAGGGGACAACGTGGTACACTACCTCAGTACAATTTTCTGGTGTAGGGAGCTACCAACGGAGTGGACCTACTTTCACTAGCTAAAGCTACTTTTTCTTCCTCACTGCTCAGCTGAAGATCGAAGTATCCCCTGTTATGACTGACCCCGGAAGCCGAGTGGCACCAAGCTTCAGGTTCGCAGTTGTCTCAGCGCTCCCGTTGAACGGGACGGCGGGGAAACAGCAAGGGGTCCGTCGAACATGTCCACTTGAATGATGCAACAGAGATTCAACTTCAACCGAGTGATCATCCTTTGACATCCCAACCCCATGAAACCTTGTCCATACATTTCACAACTTCATATTTACAGTATACAGTCGAGATGGTCCATAACACCACAATAAGAATGACATCGCGTGACTAGAAATCCGGAGTCGATTGGCCGTTACGCCGTGCTACCTTGATATAATTTGGACCATTCAATACCGAGAACCGGAGTACGTACGAACGACGACTTTCCCGGAAAGGCATCCCGCGATGTTTCCTCCTGTCAAAGTATCAACACTCCCGTGTCATACTGCATTCCAGTCGCAAAAGTCCACACTCGCGCGTCACAGTCACAAAATTCATGATACTGCTCTTATAAGCAATGAGTTGTTTGATTCACAGCACAAATGACCTTCTGGCTCGAACATCTGGGTGTTGTGTGCTGCGGCTTCTTCCGGCACAACAAGGCTGGCAACAAATCCATATCATTTGCAACGAGCTTGACAATCAACAATCATCCATTCACCTGCTTTGTCCATTGTTTTCGGACTGTTCATCTGATTTTTTAACAACTTTCGCCATCTTCGCGAAGATTCCGATACGATTTATAGTCTGAACAACACCCAACCCAGAAGGTCTGAACGTCCCTGCAACTTTGGAGAGTCCGTTCTCAGTCTATCTTATAAATCCACTCTCCATTCACGCCTCTTTACAAGGGTCCCCGAGATAGCTCCCCATCGAGTCACCATTCAACCACAAGCGGCCACTACACTCTCTTGATAGAACCTTTGGATGCTGACTTTACCCAGCCTTGCCAGAAACCACATCTAGAATTCATCTTGTTCCAAGGTAGGACGGATAGATTTTGCCAGTTCTAGCTTCAAAGGTTTACCAGAAGGTTCATTGAAAAAGATCTGGACCCAGGTGCCTGAATCCACCTTTTGCCCTTCACTCTGTATAAATATCTCGAATTCCAAAACGTCACCACTCCACTACCCTTCACCTTCACCTTCACCAAGTCACAACCACTCTCACTCATAAAGGGTATTTAAGATCCCAGGACTGGGTACTGTTGAAACTACTTTTATCAACACTCTTTTGCAACAACACCAAACAACGAACAAAATGACCAACATGTCCACTAACGGCGTCTCTTCCACCAACGCCGATGGCGGTCCTAAGCGGACCAAGATCTGCGTCTACTGCGGCGCGTCCGCTGGGAACAACCCCATTTACCTCGAAGCCGCGCGCCAGCTCGCCCGCGTCATGGCCGCCAACAACATTGGCCTAGGTATTTACTACTCACTCACCCAGATACTACTGAACCCCCTTCACTAACACCAGAAACCCACAGTCTACGGAGGTGGCACAGTCGGTCTCATGGGCGAGATCGCCAAGACCCTGGTCTCTCTATCGGGCCCTGACTCAGTCCACGGCATCATCCCCGAGGCTTTGGTCCGGTACGAGCGCGACCCCAACTATACGTCGACTCACACCAACGGCAGCACCCAAAAAGACGGCGCTGCTGAGGAGAAGGAGGAGGAAAAGGCCAAGCAGCTTGCCGTCCCCGACGAGAACGTCTTTGGCCGCACGACCATCGTCAAGGACATGCACACGCGCAAGTTGATGATGGCGCAAGAGGTTTTGGCGGGCGGTCCCGGATCGGGCTTCATCGCCATGAGCGGCGGCTACGGCACCATGGAGGAACTTTTCGAGACGGTTACGTGGAACCAGCTGGGCATTCACGACAAGGGTATTGTGCTCCTGAACATCAACGGGTTCTACGATGGTATCTTGCAGTGGATCCAGAACAGCATCGAGGAAGGTTTCGTGAACCAGGCGAACGGCAAGATCATGGTGGAGGCGAAGAACCCCGACGATGCTATCAAGGCACTCAGGGAATATAAGGTATCCGAGGCGGTTCTGAAGCTGAAGTGGAGTGACGAGTAGGCGAGGAGGGTAGCAGAGGAGGAGGGATTTTGTTTTCTCGAGGTTCTTCCCTTCTTGGGAAACCAGTTGCTGTTGCCTTGCATAGCACAGCTGCTTTCTAGATGGATGATGACGGCGTTCAGGGGTCCTCTTTTTCTAGGCAGGGCCAGGCCAGGCCATATCCAAAAGCTCTCGGTGTTACCATTTGCTTGATCGACGGGATTGACAGCACCATGGTTCTAGACACAATAAATGCATTAATATCAAAGTGACCTGTTTGATCTCATTACTTCATTCCGGGTGTATGCGCTCCCTGTGCTAATCTTCCCCTTTGCCCTTTCAAGTAAACCGCAAATCCATCGTCTAACTATCAACGTCCATGCCCTCGCCCTCGGCAGCTGCCGGGGCAGCCTCTGCGTTATCCGCCACACTCTCTATCCACGCGCTAACGTCTTGTCCATCGTACACCTTGAACGGCTGCGGCTTGGTCGTGCCGTCCTCCTGCTTCTCGACGCCCACAATGGCAACACTGGTATTGTCGATCGTCAACTCGCGGTCCTGCACCAAGCTCTCCTTGAGCGCCTTGAGACCGTGACGGATCAGCTCCTCGCGGCCGCAGTCGGCAAAGGCGTCCAGGTTCTTCTCCAGATATGTGCGCGCCATCTGGCTGCGGGCGCCAATGGCGAAGGCAACCATCTCCTCGGTCATGCCGCTGGGCTGGAACTCGAACAAGTGCGGGCCGTGGTCGTCAACCCCGGCGACCAAAAGACCGACACCGTAGGGGCGCTTGCCGTAGTGTTGCGTGTTGATCTGCGCCTTGGATCCAATCATGTCGACGAGAGTCCGGACGGGCATGTTACGACCGTACGTGAGGCGGTGGCCGAGGCACTGCTGCTTCATAAAGTTGGAGAGGACGCGCGCGTCAGAGGTGAGACCGGCGATGGCGATGCCGACATGTTCGTCGATGGGAAAGAGCTTCTTTTGGTACGAGGAGAGTTCTTCGGCGTTGCGCTAGACGGAGAGAGGAGGTAGTGGTCAGCTTAACTTGATCGTAGAGTGGGAGGAGACATGTTGTCGGCAGAATGGTGCACGGAGGGGATGGTGATCAGGGGGGTAAGTACCTTGATCGCTACCAGGACGGCGTGTGTCTTGCTAGCAATTCCCACCACCACCGAACCCTGCTTTACTGCTTCCGCCGCATATTCGACCTGGAAAATTCGTCCTTGAGGGGAGCTAGTAGGAAAACCGTTGTTAGCTAAAGGTCGAGGGTAGACCTCATAACGTGGCAGGCGGAGGAGCTTTGGGCGTTGGGAAGTAGGGCCCAGTTTGGCTGCTGCTGCTGCTGCTGCGGGACAGCTTAGCTTACAATGTGACCGAGTCGTTGTCGTAGTTGTTCCTGAACATGACTGGATTCCTCTATCGCAGAGGCTGGGAAACGAGATGCGGATTGCGGTGGAAGTATCGGGGTTTGTGCCGGCAAATATCGTCGGTGTCTTCTGGTGTTTTGGAGGACGCGAAAGATTGTTGTTTGGTGCTGATAGTGACGATGGTGGTGCAGTCTGGGTGGGATGGACGGAGGTCAGTGGACAGTGGTTGCTTCCTTCCCCAGTTGCGCAGGCAGCTCCTAGCTTCGTCAGGTCCCGCCGCCCACCAGGCAATGAGGCTGCTGTTGGCGGAGGGCGGGACAGGCGCGGGCAGGCGTGGGCAGGCAACTGGTACGTCGCTGCAGGTACCTTCCTTGCCCGCCAAAAGAAAGTCAGACCCACTTTTGCTGCTGAGTGCAGGCGGCCAGGCGCGCGCTGGGTGCACCCGCCAAGAGGCTGGCTGACGACAGCCAGAACCCACGGGCAAAGCGTCAGTCGTCACTTGTTCCGCTCGCTGGAGGCTTGGAGCTCACTCCAACAACTCCACCACGGCACACTGGATCACCACCATCACGGGTTGTCGCCTGCCACAGCAACGAGTCAACGAAAAGCGCAAGCCGAGTAAACTCATGCGATAACTATCACCTCCTAGATTACGAAAAGCAGCAGGCAGCACTATACAGTTTCATCGATCAACGAGTTATCTACGCCCGCGCAACAAACACCTTTGAACCCGGCAGGCCCGCGACACTCTTGGATTCTACCTAGCTTGACACACTCCACGACCCTCCGAGTTCCCAGCGCAAACGACGCCCTTACTTTTACTTTGTCCGAAACATATACACTTTCGCAGTCAGAAGTTCCGACACAATCACCCAAGATGCCGGCAGCAGGACTCAAGACCATCATCGCGCTCTCCTTCGTCTTGGCGGTGGGCTTCCTCCTCGTCATCCTGTCATGCGCACTATGGAAGGCATACTATCCGCTGCTGGTGGTGGCCACCTACGTGTTGGCCCCCATACCCAACTGGATCTGCAGCCATTGCGCCAACCCGGACGATTTTGTTGAGAGCTCGGGTGCTGCGGTGCTGGATCTGGGTCGCTTCTGCACTGGTTTCTTGGTCATGATGGGGCTTGGTAGGTTTTACTCCTCCGTCTTGCTGTTTTTTATGTATCCCCGATGTGTTGAAAAAGCACGGTAGCTAATCTTTTTCGGCAACAGCTCTTCCAGTGGTTCTCGCAAACTCGGCTATCATCACGGTCCCGGCCATGATCATGTCCGTTATCGGTGGCCTGTTGATCTATGGCACCATTATTAGCTTCGCCATGTTCTTCCAGGAAGAACAAGACTTTTGACTAGCCGACCAATGATAGCGAGAACGACAGAATGCATCGGAGTCCGAGACTACACACACAACAATAACAAAAAGCACAAAGGAGCAAGGAGTTTCGGAGAGCGGCTGGGTGCGGAACCGATTTACACATGGTGGGAGACTATGACTGTACAATTGCCGGAACTTGAGCCGGACGACGGCTATGGGATATGATCAATGGGCTTTTAGGAAAGTGGCTGGCACTGGCTGATGAGGGGCTTCTGGGTTGTGCTGGGTTTGGATGATTATGAGACAGTTATGAGGTTATTTTATGTTATGATCGATTATCTAGCGAGAGGACTTAAAACGTCTTCTCTCTGTCTATCTTCGATGCATCGTGTTGAAATGTCTAAAATTTAGTTCCCTCCATATGCGTCCGTTGAGCCAATATACTTATACACAGAACTCCAACCCAGTTTATTTTTGACACCATGCCCCCCATCTAGATAGATACGTTGAATATCCTTCCAACCCTGAGATACGCCTAAGCCTGAAATGATGAATTCTACCCTCTTTTCTTTTCACACCCCTTTTCCGAGTTTACCCCAGGTCCGCAAACACCCTCAACGGCCCAGCGAGTTTCGTAAACATCTCTTCCCGCTCACCCTCAGGGGTACTCAGGATGGTAACCGCACCTCCAGCACCAATACGCCACACCTCATGTTCCTCCTCACTCTGCTGGGCATATTCTTCTTCTCCTTGTCCCTGCACAGTTACCCGCTCATCGTCCCAACGGAACAGACTTCGGATCGTCACGCTCCAGTCTCCTCTGCCGGTGACACACATGTACCCAACAACACCCGAGTACAAACTGCGCTCGCGGTGCTGCTCAATCTGCTGCAACAGCTCGCAGCTGCGTTTCTTGGGAGCCCCCGTCATGCTACCAGGCGGCAGACTGGCGGCGAGAACATCCAGTCCCGTGTATTTCTTCTTGTTCCCGTTCTTCCCATCTTGGTCCTGCTGAGAAGGTAGCTGCCCCTCAACAACAGTAATCATCTGAAACACGCTCTGGTACTCCTCCACCTTGAGCAAATCGCTCACCTCCACATTCCCTGCTCCGCAAATCGAGTGCAAGTCGTGCCGGACCAGGTCGACAATCATCAAGTTCTCGGCCTCTTCTTTGGGCACGTGCAGGATTTTCTCGGCTTGCTCAAGCGTCGAGACGGATTCGGACTTGCGCACCGTCCCCTTCATCGGCCGCATCGAGCACCGCCCGCGTTGGTCGTACGTCAGGAAGCGCTCGGGCGAGGCGCTGACGAGAGTGGCGCCGCCGAGGCGGAGGTAGGATGCGAAAGGGGCTGGTTGGCGGGAGCGAAGGGTTTTGTAGAGGTGCCAGGAGGAGGGGACGGAGATTGAGGTCGTCGTGGGTACGAGAGAGGAAGAGGACCGACGATGCTGCTGTTTCCGGCTGAAGGTTGGGCTTGTTGGGCGTTGATGTTCTTGAGATGTAGCTGACGGGATGGCGTCGCTCAGGGGCCGAGTAATCTTGGTTTGGTCTGTGAGACAGAGCTCGTAGGAATCACCGGCCGCAATGAACGCCTGGCAAGCCTTGACCTTGGCTTCGTACTCTTTGGTCAAAGGTGTTTGTATCGATGTGCTTGTGGATGGACGGCGCGTCTTCGACTTTTTGGCTGGAGAAGGTAAATCGTTGGGGAACTGATGTTGGTGATGAGCTGAAGTTGATACAAGTCGGTCTGCGATGTTCCGCATCCAGGCGTCATTGTCCACGTCCGTATCAGAAGAATACAACTCCTGAATATGGGCCAAGTCAAGAGTGTGATCTATGACCACGCTCTTTGTTACCCATGCCAGACAGACATCAGGCCGGTGGTGTGGACGGTTCTCCAAATGGATGTCAATGTCGCTCAGGCCTTGTTCATAAGTGATGAAACCCATAAATCCTCCTAGGAATGGTAAATCGGGAAGCCCAACACCACTTCCAAGGCTTCGCATCTCCTGGAAGCTGGCCACGAGACCCCATATCCCGCCGTAAGAACCGAGAAAGACCCGCTCAGACAGATCAACCTGCAAGCCGTTGACCTTCTGAAGCTTGAAAGTAGCATACTCGTTGCCAGTATGATACTCAAGCCGCAGCGCCTCTTCCAGCTCCGCCGCAACGATGCTATACCGACCTCTCACATCCGCTCTCGCCGACGCCGTAGCAGCCGCATTCGCAGACTCCAACAACATAACCTTGTCGGAGCCATCCAAGCCCAGCTCCTCCACCACGTCCGACACCTGCACGCCATGCGGCAGACGGACAGCGACGGAACGATGCTGAGGTCTCCTTCCCATGCGCTCCCACCAAATTTTGTTACTCTCGCCACCAGCAGTAGTAGAAGACGTCGTCTGCTCGTCGTCGCCACCAACTGGCACATGCAACCTCGACAGCAGACTAGGCTTAGTAGCCTGATGCGCCAATCTCCCGCCCTCAGCAACTTCCACCACCGTCCTCCCCTTCTCTTCATTCCACCTCAGCGCCTCCCTGAACCAGTTCTCAATGACCTTGTTCCCTTCTTGCTCCGTGCACACCGATTCCGGGTGGTACTGCAACCCCCAGAATGGTTTCCTCAGGTGCTTCACTCCCATCAAGATCCTCTCCACGTCCCCATCCTCGCGCTCTTCTTCCACCCACGCCAGCGGCAACAGATCTGGACACTTCTCTTGAATAGGCTTCCACTTTGCACCTCTCTTTTCTTCCTTCCAGTCCGCCTCACACATCTCATGCTGCCCGATATCGCCGCAAAGCGAGTGATAAAGCGTCGCCTTGAACGGCTTTACATCCCGAAAGATATTGCTATTGCCGCCTTCATCTCCGCTCTCTGCATGTGCATGCGAGCGATGCAAAACCTCCCTAACCATCCCATGCAACCCCTTCTTAAGCCTCTTCACCTCTCCACCACCGTACTTCACCAAGCTCTGGAACCCGAGACAGATGCCCAGGACGGGCAGCAGTCCACTATCCGCAGCAGTGAGTTCCCACACATGGCTCATCAACCCGACATCCGCCTCGTTATCGGGGGATCCCGGTCCAGGCCCGCATACCACGGCCGTGTACTGGGCGAGTTCCCTGCAGAATTTCGAGTGGAAGTCTGGCGAGGTAGGGTCAAGGAGGGGAGAGTCGATGGAGAGGACGTAGACATCTACGTCGTCGAGGAGGGTGGTGAGGAGGGAGGTGATGTTGTTGGAGAAGGAGTCGTAGGCGTCTAGGAAGAGGATTTTGTGCTTCTTCTTCTTGTTGCCGTTCCTCTCATGGTTGAATGGCTTTTTGGTTGTTGTTGGGGAGGCGTGGTTGCCATTGGTGTTGCCATTGATCTTGACAGGGTCTTTGTTATTGATGTTGTCGTAAGACTCGGATGAAGGAGGGTATGATGAAGGCGACGCGGAAGAAGAATCAATGAGATCTGGATGTTGGGTGGTGGGTGTAACCATGTTGGTGTTATTGGGTTGGCCGTCCATGCCTTGGAAATCAATGATGGAGGGGTGCTGCAACGGGTAAATGTTGGAAAAGAAACCCCCTTCTTGTGACCCAGTTCACCGGCCAACGCTTCCTACAGAAAATGGGGGAAAGTGAGGTCTTGCGCTGATTTGGTGAGTCAGTGGTGACATTCGCAAAATCTCGAAAGCCTTGGCCACCATTTCGGTGAATTGCAGTGGCGAGCGAAAGCGGCTTCTGCGGTCGGGAGTATTGTATCATCAAAACCCTAACCCTGGGCATGATATCGGGTCTTCGTTCTCACAATGACAGCACAATCGTGTCGTTCTGCAGATCATGATCAGAACTTCCTTAGTATCCCTGGACAATTAGACGTACTCAATGCATACCTATATCGCGATTAATATTTATTCTACGTTGTCATACAGCTTCATATCGTACTTCCATAGTTTCCGTCCCCAACCCCAACCCGGTAACCAATATCAACGCTTGGCCATGCATACAAACCAACATCCTTTCTTCCTTTCATATGCTTCACTCATCCCCATCATTCCTAACCACAACAACCCTAGCAGGTCTCCTAGAGCACCACACCCTCCTCTCTCTTTTACTGCCCGCAATCTCCATCCCCATAGCTGCATCCTGCATCTTCTCCGCCTCGCTCCTCCTCTTGCGCCTCTCCTCTTCCTCCTCCTCACTCGGCCTCCACACCATCGTCTCTTCCACGCTCGCAGAGATCTCAAACTCGCCTCTACACAGCGCCGTGACGCCCATAACGACCTCGGCTTTCTCTCCACCCGCCAAAAGAGGTAGTGCTTTCTGTAAGGTGCCGTTCCAGGCAAACTTGCGGGTGAAGTCGAGCGCGACGTTGAGCGGTCGGTGACATAGGGAAGGCATGAGGCGGACGAGTGGGTAGATGGGCTGGTTTGTGCGGTTGGTGACAGCGACGCGGAGCTGTAAGAAGGATTCGACCTTGGCGATTGCGTGTGACATGTGTTTTTGGTCTTCAAGGGTGTTGGATGGCGAAGCGGATGCATCCAGAAGGGAAATTTCGATTCCAATCTCATCCACCTTTACCGCCTCGATCATGCGGCTCGTCAACCTCATGGCTCTTAGCTCAATGCTTCCGTTCCTACCACCAGCGATGGTGCCCCCTCCTGGCCCGGTTCGCCACGTTCCCTTGAGCGAGTCTAGAACCCTCTCCCTGTACCAGAACGCCTCACGGTTGGCTCGTTCCATCTCGGGCGTAAGCTTTGAACTGACAACGAACTGCCTCTGTCGGGAAGGGTTCAACACAGGAATGAACGCATAAGGGTCCTCCAGGTAAACGCGCTTGATGGGGAAGATTACTCTGTTGACGTTTCCAGGAAGGATATGCTCCTCCAGCCTAGCTCCGTCCTCTGACTCGAGCTGGACCACCATGTTACTCGGCCAAGAATTGCGCAAATCCAGCATCAGCAGGCAATGCGTATCGGCGGTGAGTTGAGACGTGCTCTCCCTGTTACTACCTGCCCGTAACCAGAGAGGTTCAGGGATGCTGCCGTGCAGTGGGAAGACATCCATGCGGACTATTTCGATACTGGCATTGACAGTAACAGTAAGTGCCAACGAGACCTGACGAGTGAAGAACCTCTCTCCTTCTAGCTCGTCGGGAGGCACGCCTAGGTAAGCATAGTCAACCTGGATGAGGCCGTGGGTAAGACCAGGTTTCCCAAGAATCTCAAAGTCAAAGGTTGCTGTTCCCCCAGGTGGAATGTATCTTTTCTGGTTCCCCTCCTTGCAGATGCGAAGAGCCTGCTTCTTGGCAAGGATGAGCTCATATTCGTAAAGCTCAGCGGGAGTGGCATCTCTGCTGGCCATTGCGGCCTGCAATGGCTCCTGAGTCGAGTCCTGGAAGGAAAACAGCAGAAAATCGACCGGGGTCGTCTCTGACAGGTTCTGTAGTGTGACCGAAAACTTCTGGCGTTCCCCTTCAAGGATCATAACCGATGACTGGGGAAGCGATGAAGACTTGACGACTACAGCAGGTTGTTCGGCAATGACGTTGAGCTCAAGGCTTGCTGGCTTTGGACGGTGTGTTGGAGGTGTGCGCTTCGCCAGAGCAACATCCAGCGCCGCGAGGCCGATTCCTTTCACCTTGGGTTCTTTCTCAGGAGCCCACTGCTCAATGAAAATGGGGAACCTCCTTTCACGGCAGCCCCTTACTTTGATGATAGCACCCTTGATCCTCAAGGTCCCCGCAGCTTTCGGCATTCCTGAAATCCTGAGGACTTGGGTACGATAAGGCCCTACAACAAGACTTTCGACTGCGGATTCGAACTCGGTTCCTTCGGTATTTAGGCGGATGCTCTCCAGCTCTAGATCCATCTCGAATGTGTTTTGGAAGGTAAGCCTGAACGTTGCCGCCTCTCCAGCAACCAGAACCTTTTCGACATCTGCTGCGGCTGGCTGTTTCAAGAAGGGGTTATAGATGAATGGATTGACGTCCTGCGAGGTCCTCGTTGTGGCCACGGCATTAGGCAGTACGCTCCGAGCATGTGAAACTGGTGTTCGTGTCGTGGCTAAGGGTTCGAGCTTAACGCCTCTGAGAAGAAACTCGTCCCAATACTCGGCCGCCAAATGACCCATACCCAAGCGTTTGGCAAGATTGGATGTTTTCGAGATGTTGGTAGCGAAGCGTATCTGGTCTTCTCGATGGACTGCCGGGTAAGCGTCCTCGCGCCGCAGGCCCGGAGCGGTACCGCTTCCAGCCGTCCGTAGAAGATCGCTTGAGTATTTCAATACTCCAGCAAAGTCTGGAAGCGCTTCAGAGAAGCTGACGCACGTCCTTAAAATGTTGAGCTTGATATCTTGCATACCGAAATTTCGTAAATCGGACTGTTTCAATATTCTTGAAACTACCGCTTCGTCAGAGTCATCTCTTGTGGCTGATTCTTCCAAAGATGCTGTCGAGCCCGGGTCAACGGTTACCACTCCGTACGTCCTGAGTAGGAGACCGAGAAAGGCACCGACACCATGCTCGATGTCATTTTCTGTAAGATCCAGCGCACCAGCATGGCCGTTCCCGCCGAGCCCATTAAGACCGACAAGCCCAGCTGCGGGATGAATCCCAACATCTGCGGCTCCCCTGGTGCGCGCTTCCACCAATCCACCGATCAGAACCGATACCAAGTCCCTGACGACCATGGCCTTCTTCCTCTGGAAACCTAGCACTCCCAAGACTGATGCAATGCCGCTGAGGAGTACTATTCGGTCAGCGGTAGTCAGCAATTCGGAAGCAGAACCCGGGTAGGCCTTCATTAAGGTCGACAGGATATGAGTCCTTGTTGGGATAATATTAAATCGAGGAGACGTGGTCAGCTGTTTTGGCGGTGGTGTACCAAGGACCATCATCTCCAAAGACCTTTCATCAAGCTTCCCATCCACGACATGCAGAGCAGTGAGCATTTTGCAGAAACGGATGATGGTCTCAGACATGGGTAGTAGTTGGAGGTTTTCGGCTGTTATCCTCGAGTAGAGGCTGATGATACGCTCGAGCAACTCTGGGATGTACACCTGTAGTCTCCGTAGCCAGCGCGGTTGATTTGGGTCCTTCTGTTCGGCCTCCAGGATCTGGTTCGCGAGCGCTGTCCCTTTGTCTGCATTTGGCAGCAGGATAGGATGTACGTCGAATTCGATGCCCGCCCAACCCAGCAGCAACAGTGCTATAAGAGAGAGCTCTAGGGCCTTTCCGTGCCAAATGTGATCATTAGTCGATTTGGCGCCAGTTGCACCCTCAGTCAGCTCTCTGAGCGCGTCAATCCACCGACCAGCCTGGAGATACAGGGAGCCCAAGACGATCTGGAACCTGCTCTTTCCCCTGTGCAACTTCTTGTCGGTCGATCCGCCCGATCCAAATCCCTGGACTGATACCCTGTCCTGGCTCTGGGTCCTGAACACATCCATAAAATCGGGACGCGGAGGCAATGCCTTCTCAGGGCTGACCGATTCGCCTGTCGCAATGTCGTCAAAATTCGTAGGCGGATTGGATAACCCACTTCTTCCATTTGGTGGTGTCGCAGGTTGGCCGGAAACTGCACGGTTGGATCCAAAAGCGCCTCCCTTGAAAGGGACAGGAGGCATGGACATGCGCGACTGATGTCCCCTATCTATAAGCCCGCTTGCTGAGACTGATCGGTTGGTTGGCAATGCGAACTGGGAATTCCTCCTCGAAGGGTCTCCTAGAGGTCCTTGTCCCCCATACATCTGTTCGGCGCTGGAAGCGTGACCGGGTGAGTCGATAAAGGTCATACCCTCATATGATTTGGCGAGAGTGGTCATCTCGGCCAGAATCAACGAGGATATGTCACACATGACCGTCTTCATGGTAGTTCTTTTGTGTTTTTCGGGTGGCGGGATCGTGACGATGCCTTCAGGAATTGGTATTGGGTTTTCTTCGGAGGGCACATAGTCGAACAGCAGGACCTGGTGAACGAGTATCCTGGGGTAGCGGTCTCTTAGGTCTTCCAACTCCTGGTCGAGCGAGCGTATGTTTGTTTCGGCGACTGTCCTGCCGCCAGATTGCCTCTTGCTGAGAACAACATTATTGATCTCGGAGCCATCGGCAATGGCAAGTAGGGCCAGCGGTTCGCGGTACAAATCAAAGGGCACCAGCGCAAGGTGCGAAGGGGGTGGGACGTGGGTCATGAGATCGTAGAACATGGCGCCGTCGGGGAAGGCCAGAGGAGTGAACATATCTAGAAGAGGCAGATACGCGGGTCAGCGAGAGCTCTGATGGACTGAGGCCTCAGATCCAAGCTGGACATAAGCTGGCGGTCCCTACTTCTGTTCGGCCGGCCATCGGCGGTGACGTCGCGTAGCTGGACGACATTCTCGGTGTTCAGGCTCTTGACAAAGGTGTCAAAGCGGTCACGCTTAATCCTTCCTATAGGCAACACCAGTGTCTTGACCCTCGCCGGCGCGACGGGCAGGAAAGGATCCGGAGTCATGGTTGTCTCGGTGAGGTCATTCCTGTGCTCTGAGGACGCGGCGGGATGCTGTCGAGGTTGTGTTGCTAGCTTTCTTTAGATGGGGAGAAGGGACATGTCGGGGTCCAAGAGGAGCTTCGCACAAGCATCAGGCAGGCACACGACTGCCGCTACCTTACCTTGCCTTGCTTTGCCGCTCCGCAGCTGCTGTCGTTATTTTCTGTACGTGTTGGTAACCCAGAAAGGGGTTGCCTCAAATGTAGAAACTAAAAAGAGCTGGTTGTTCAAGCGGGCATCGAGTCCCGTCCTTGTATGGAGGTGGTTGAGGTGATGTTCCTTCGGTCAATTGTGGAATACCCGAACCCCTAGACAGATTGGCGGGCGGGCATCGGTTGGCGTTGCTAGTGGGTCAGTCCATCGCTCTTGAACTGAATCGGATGGCGTTGATGGAGGCGGGCAGCTGCAAGGCGCAGGGGTTGTGTGCTAAAATACAGGAAGGTACCTGCTGTAGTATAGTGGCGGCCCAAGCTCTAAGCAGCTTCCATCCCTTCCCCCCGCCTTCCGGCAAACAATTCCGCTCATCATACGGGGTCCCGGCCGGGAAGTGGGGCGAAGACCGGCTAATGATCCGGAAGTACCTCCGGGGAACGGGCATCCTTCACGGCGACTCCATTGAGTTTCAATATTTACTAGTTAGGTAACCTATAGGGTATCGACTTGTAATGACCAGAGCCCTAATGAATTAACACAATCAACTTCAGTTCTTTGGCCTGATTCGCAACCCTCAACCTGATAGTGGTTTGACGCTTAAAGGGTCTGGCATAATCATGACATTGGTCCCATGCCAGGGTCACCCGCCCCCATGCCCTGTCCAGCCTCCATTACTGACCTACCCTTTCTTGCCTCAGCCTTGAGCTCACTGTCAAAGATGTCCACTGCCAGGCTGACTCGCAAAGTCCTCCAGCTCCTCTGTCACCGTCTTCAACTTTTCCTTGACGGCAATAGCACCTTCAAACCCGACGATATGCCTTGCCGGCGGGTTCTCGTGCCCGCCAATGGCTGTCAAGGCATGCACTGTCTCCATGACTAGCTTGTCCAAGGTAGCGGGCGGAAGTTTCGGGTAGCGGAACTGTATTTCGTCTTCGCTTTGCTCAATGTACGTGTCCGGATTCGAGTTTAGGACGGTCGACAGTACATCCCGGATGTTTGGAGCCGGGTTGAGATCGGCTTCGTACTGAGGTAGTGGCGGCGAGAAAATGAGCTTGTTGGTTAGACTCAGGATTTCCTTGTTGGGCTGCACAATCGTCATCTTGATGTTGAAGGGCGCAATCTCGTATGCTAGCGAGTCACAGAAGCCCTCGAGGGCCCAAACCGCAGCTGTGTAAAAGGACATGCCTGGTGTCCCAATGTGGCCACCAATGCTGGTCAGAACAATGATGTGACCTGTGTGTTGCGCTCTGAGCTGCGGAAGAGCAGCCTTGATAAAGTTCACCTGTGAGAAGTAGACGGTCTCGAACTGGTCCCTCACTAGGTTCTGCGTCGCAGGGTTGGTTGATAGTTCCTCGACGGTCCCCACAACGGCTATAAGAGACACAAGAACAATTAGCGGCCTTCGTCTTTATGTAGGTATAAACGTTTCCGATTCACTTACCTTCAGCTCTGCAACAGAGCATGATATCGATCCTCCCGAATATTTGGACGGCTTCGGCAACGGCAGCGCCGCACTGGCCCATGACGCGGCTATCACACCGGATGGGGCGGATCCGGTCCTTCCATCCTTCACGATCTCTGCGGTTGCTCTTGCACTCATTGATGAGTTCACGAAATTCGGCGCTGCGGTCTTCGTGCTCGATCTCCTGTGGTGGCAGACAGGCGACTACGTAGTCACCATGCGCTAGGAGCTGGCGTATAAGCCGGATAGCGAGTGGTGTGAGTGCGGACGTTATAAGCCATGTCCTCGGCGAGTTGTGGGTTGCTGGTTGGTCCATGACAGGTCAGACTCGCGGCCCGTGTTTAGCTGTTATATGGAATCATGGCATGGGGGAGGTAGTAGCAAAGAACAGGGTTTGGGGCAAGAGAGTATAGTGGGGGCATCAGTTCGTGGTAGTAAGTTTGTATCAAGATTGGAAAGATGTGATGTAGTTGAGATTGGTGGCATGTAAAACGAAAAGGTGGCGCACGCACGGAATGATGCTGCAGGAATCGCATGAGACTGTCTTCCGCTCGTGGTCGGCACGGCTTCCGAAGGCTTGCGGTCCGCCATCCTGAAGGAGCAGGAACCTTGTTTCTCGCTTCTTCGTTCGCTAGCAGTTGCCGTTCAGCTCACGTAACAAAGGTGCCGGTTTGGAGCTGAAGCTTTGTCTACAAAGCGACACCCGGAGACGCTTCCCCGGAGCCTTTGGTTGAGCTGTGTTGCGTGTATATCAACGCCAGCCAGTGAGTGAGAGGCAGCGTGACACTAGTGCCTCCGATATGCTCCTGGATGCCGTGATCTTCGCAAGGTTATAGTTGAAGTCGGCGTCTTGATGTTTCTTCTGTGCTGTAGTCGTTCGGTGGATTCCGTCCTCGGTCTGCCTGAGTGTTGCCTCGCTGCCGTGAAACGCGAGTTTGGATATGGGGTCCGATACCTATCGTAGGGTGTAACTCAGCAAGAGACTCTGTAAGAGGGAAGCTCTGTCTCTGAGATAGGTCCGAATTTATATTCTCTGAATGGAATAAAAAGTCATGACAGCGGATTTTGTTAAGGCCAGTCTGTTTCCTCCATCATAGATGGCAACATTGGGTATTGGGCCTGCTGCTCTGAAGCTCAACGGCTTCATCCCTGTTGCTTAGCGCTGCCCACCAACCAAGGGCATCGATGCCACGGCGGTCAGAATAGCGCACAGCCGGTGGACCACGGCAAATGAGGGAGGGCGAAGTTCGAACCTCTGGTTCTGATTGATCATCTGAAGTAGTTGAGGCTCAAACCGGGGGACGCCGCTGCAGCTAGTGCCCATATATAATGCGCATGGCCTTCGGATGTGCTTCCGAAACCCTTTTTCAGTCCGGCACGAATGCGGGGATGGAGGCCTTTTCGAGGTACCGAAACACCCAGTCAATTATGGCATTGGCTGCCACGCCAGGATGTTGAGCCTGCAGTTTCACGCCCAGGATGTGGTGTACCGCGGAACGGTAAGAAGGCCGGAACAAAGCGTGGTGGGTGAACCTCTTCCGGGCTAAGGATGTCCCCGCTGGAGTGGAAACATGACCTCAACGGCGTTAGTCCTTTATGATCTCCGGCTTGATGGAGTGGCTTATTAATTTGCACATCATCCGAAGAGATCCCCGTCTCCATTCGAGCCTAGATGAATATCTTCGCAGGTAGTCCGTAGGCATGGAAGCTACGTGATATGGCGATGGTGTTCCGGTCTCAAATATAGCCTCCGGAACCGGTGAATCAGACTAGAGGTAGGTTCCTTCCTAGGAGGTAGAAGTCCAATAGATATATAAACAGATTGCGACAAATGAAAACGAATGAAAAGGTCATTCGCACCCAGAAGGGGAAGTTGTTAAGTCCATGAAGCTTAAATGGTTGGTTCCCCACCCTAGGGCCGGATAGCCACGCTTCTCCTTCCCCTCGGGTCCTTTGGGAGAAGCTGAGTTGCTGAGGGGACGAGGATCGCCTTCTGCCCTGTTCAGGGGTATGTTTACTCTCCCAAGGATGCTGGTGAGGGGCTGTGAGGCTTTCCCTACAGGAGGTCGTCATGGCCTTCTATCAGTGATAAGGCATAGGGGCACCTGCCCTTAGAGGTACAGCTACCCCACCAAAGCCCAGTGACGCTGTCCCCTCTCACTGGAGGGGACGAGGGGGGATGCCCGACATCGCGTCCCAAAAGGAGGTCGACTTTGCGATTCCAACTGATTCTAGGCCTCACCCCTCCGTCCAGACTCGCCCCTGACAACACAACGCACTCTTGCAGTCCAGCTCAACCTCTCCTTCGTCCGAACGCTATATACCCAGTCTTTTACGGAACAACAACAAATATCGCGATACCGAATCCGCGACAACAACGCCCATCATCATGTCTACCACAGTCATCAACACCGACGACGACTACCTGGAGCCCACCCTCCAGTCGATCCTCGACCAGCAGTCGCTGCGCTGGATCTTCGTCGGCGGCAAGGGCGGTGTCGGCAAGACGACAACCTCGTGCTCTCTGGCTATTCAGCTGGCCAAGGTCCGCCGTTCGGTCCTGCTCATCTCGACCGACCCCGCCCACAACCTCAGCGACGCCTTCAGCCAAAGTTCGGCAAGGAGAGGCGCGTCTGATCGATGGCTTTACCAACCTGAGCGCTATGGAGATTGACCCTAACGGCAGCATCCAGGATCTCCTGGCTGGTCAGGGTGAGAATGAGGGTGCTGGTGATATGGGTGGTGTGGGCGGCATGATGCAGGATTTGGCATTTGCGGTACGTTGATCTTTCTGGTCCCGTGGGCATGGCACACGTGTAGAACATAGGCTAGGCAGCATGTACTGACTTTTGTATGAATCACAGATCCCTGGTATTGACGAAGCCATGTCTTTCGCCGAAGTCCTCAAGCAAGTCAAGTCGCTCTCCTACGAGACCATCATCTTCGACACTGCGCCCACCGGCCACACCCTTCGCTTCCTGCAGTTCCCCTCGGTCCTCGAGAAGGCGCTGGCCAAGGTTTCGCAGCTTTCCTCCCAATACAGTCCCTTGCTCAACGGCTTCCTCGGCTCCAACGGCACGCTGCCCAACGGCCAGAACCTGAACGAGATGATGGAGAAGCTGGAGACGTTGCGGGCGACCATCTCGGAGGTGAACACGCAGTTCAAGGACGCGTCCCAGACCACGTTTGTGTGCGTGTGCATCCCCGAGTTCTTGTCGCTGTACGAGACGGAGCGCATGATCCAGGAGCTGGCCACCTACAGCATCGACACCCACAGCATCGTGGTCAACCAGCTCCTGTTCCCGAAGCCGGGTTCCGACTGCAAGCAGTGCACGGCCCGCAGGGAGATGCAGAAGAAGTACCTGGATCAGATCGAGGACCTGTACGACGATTTCAACGTTGTCAAGATGCCGCTGCTGGTGGAGGAGGTCCGTGGTAAGGAGAGGTTGGAGAAGTTTAGCGAGATGTTGGTCAAGCCTTTCGTGCCGCCACAATAGAGGAGGGTTATATAATGTAAGAAGGTGTAATAATGATAATCTACATGTATTTCAGTCAACCTGCCTCATTCGTGAATAGGGTAAGGAGGGTGGTCATTGTGGGAGCAGGCATTTGAGCCCAGGCATTGCGCTAGGAGCTTATTCACTTCAAGTCATGTTGAGAAATACAGCAGTCACACACGGATCACCAGGGAGCGAAAGTTGGATGAAAAGACATTTGTTTCCTATTACGATTCCTAACCCTCGAAAGCAATCTAAACCGAGTAAACACGCAGCAGCAAAATCAAAGCAAGCTATCAAAGACGGAGTGAGTGGGAGACACATGGTAAGTCAAGTCCGTACTGTAGGTCGTCCATTGCCTATTCAAACGGAGGGTTCATGGGAGGATGGCGCAGAAGTCGGTTCATGCCGAGGTTCTCCTACGCTGTCCCGTCATAATCCCTCCAACCATCATCAAAGAAAGGAGAAAGCAACCGCTAAGCAGTAGCGTAGCGGTCACTAAAGTCCCCTTTCCCCAACCCAAGTTCAACCCGTCCTTCTCCTTTCTTTTTCATAACGTCCCATCATTTGCCGTCATTTTCAATTTCCTTCCCCCCTAGATGTTTCGTTGCATGCCTTCATGTCCATCCATCACGTATATACGCCTTTCACGCCCGTGACCAGTCATCTATCCATCCATCCGTCCGTCCATCCATCCTTTCCAGACCCTGCTTCCCTTCCCTTTCCTTTCTTGATCTCTCAACCAACCAACCACCCTTTCACCTATCCCTTCACTTCTTCCCTGATAGTTTCGAGATTAAAGTGCAAAGAAAAAAAAAACGAAGGATAAAGACCGTAGAACGCCTCCAATGCTGTCAAGAAAGCAAAAAGAAAAGAAAAAACGCGTGGTGAGTACTGGCTAGCCCGTTCCTTAGGCTCTCCGTCTCTCGTAGCTTTCTTCCTCATCTGTGTATTTTCGTGGAAACTTGTTTTGGTGATGTTGCCGCTTTTTCGCGCTTTCGAAAGCCGCAACATGTTGTGCATGTATAGGACATGCTCTTGTTCTTCCAGGTCTTCCGGCCCGTGTCCTTGATGGGTCAAATCACGTCGTCGACAGGGTAGAAAGAAGTCAATGTAGACAGGCCACCACCACTACCACCCGCTGGAGCGGATGGGTTTGTCATTGCTGTGATGTTAATGGCGATATACTGACAGATCCTGAAATGGTTGTCGGCGGTTCTTGTGCTGGATATGTTCCCTTCTTTGCCGGTTCGCTGGATACTGCTTTGAGCATCGCACAAGTTGTCCTGGGGATGCGGCCTGGTGTTGAGAAACTGACGTCACCTAATTCGTAGGTCTTGCTTGTCCCTTACAGTTCTCGGTAATCACTCGGCCGGACGCGCCTTTGGCGGTTTTGGTGGCGGTGAGGGTTGACTGGTTTCCTGAAATAGGCATCGTCATCATCAGCGGGCTGGTTGGAGAAGTTCTTGAACTGCTGCTGCTGCATTTGATAGCCGCCACCATTGTGCATGCCCATGCCGGCTGCTTGGTTCATCATGTTCATTCTGCCACCGCCTGGTCCCATGGCGCCACCCATGTTGGGACCGTTGGGAACGCCGCCGTGCGGGCCGTTCATGCCCATGCCGTTGTTCCACATTCCGGGATTGTTGCCGTTGGGCATTCCGCCGGAGCCACCGGGGAAGCCACCAGGGCCCAGCCCGCCGTTTATGGGGAAGCCAGGTCCCATCCCGCCGGCCATCATTGGGTTCATCATGTTCATCATGCCCATGGGCATGTTGGGCATTCCCATACCTCCAAAGTTACCCATCATGGGCATGCCAGGGAACATTTGGGGTGAAAAGTTCATGGGGTTCATGCCATTCATGGGAGGCATGCCAGGCACCCCATTCATCATCTGCTCCATCATGGCTTGCTGCTGGGTTTGTTGAGCCTTCTGCTGCATGGCCTTGGGGGCCTTGGGGATCTTGGGGTTCTCCAGGGCATCTTCGGCAGGGCGCTTTTTCAAAACTTGCTGACCTTGTTGTCCCTGGTTAGCCTGTGTTGGTGGCGTCGTCTTGCCAGTGGAGCCGGATTGCATCGATGCTGGCGCTTGCGATGCGTGCGGCTGCTGCGAGGTTTGCTGCGATGCAGGTGGTGCAGTGTTTGTCGGAGTCGGAGATTCGGATTTCGGCTTGGTTTGTTCAGTGTTGGTTTCGGCGGCAAGAGCGTCGGTAGATGCCGGAGACTTTGGTGCTGTCGGGCTGTTGGGACTGCCAGGGCTTTGGGACCCCTCTTTCGCCTTACTGTTCTTTTCCGCAAGGAAAGCCTTGATCTTCTCAACCGCCTCCTCATCCGTCTTCAAGTCATCAATAAGTACGCCGTCGGACTTGCAGCCAGGGCAGATGAAGTCGCTCTCAATGAGGGCGTTTGTAATGCAATCATTGCAATACGTCTTCTCACAACACGGTGTCTTCATTGGGTCTATGAACAACTTGTGGTCGATGGGGCACTCCAGCCCACGCTCTTGAATCTCCTTATCTCCCTCAGGAGTAGCCTTTTGAGCTGCTGAGTTCGACTTGGCCTTGGCCTGAAACTGTTCCCATGAAGCCTTGTCAGGCTCGGCAATGACAAACTCTCCGTCGGCATTAACCATGATGCCGGACGGGGTTTTGGTTTCGTCACCGTCCCCATTCTGACCTAGGGCGGTTGCCTTGTCTACTGTCTTTAGGAAGGATTTCGGGATGCCGGTGGTTCGCTTTACGCGGGGGCGGTTATCAAAGTCCGGGTTGTCGTTGGTCGGGCAGAGTTGAATCCAGTGACCCTTCTCGCCACACCTATAGCAGATGTATCCTTGGGGAGGGTCATGATCAGGGACGTTCGCAGGCTTCTTGGGGCCAGATTTGGCGACATATTGCTGCCTACACATGAGTTAGTATCAACACATTTCATGATTGACCAGAGCGGGGAGAAGTATACGTACGTCGCCATTTCCTCCTCCCTAGCGGTGAAATTCTCCGTCTGAGCTTGGAAGACGGCCGCCATCTTCTCTTCCTCAGTCATGGCACTGTTAAGCTGCACGACGGGGTTGGCGACCGGCTTTGCCAGGGCCTTGACAATGGGTTGTTCTTTGCGTGATGAATTCTTTGCATGTACAGGCATTTTGCCCGAGACATAGCGAGCAGCTCCTCCCCTACCCTGGACCTTGGCGGGCATGCGGCGAGCAATGACCGTGGTTGATCTTGGAATGATGGTTGTATCATCATCGTAAACTGGACCCGTGTCAGCGATCTGAACATAGCCATTTCGATGTCCACTTGGATTGTACTCACCTTCCTTGAAGCCTTCATCGGCAGCGATGACGAGGTCGAAATCAGTGCCATCGCCGAGCGCACTTTTCAGGATGATTTCACGTTTTAGTTCGAAGACGGATATGCCAGTTCCGTCGAACTCCACACGGGTGGGCTCCTTGCTAGACTTGAACTTGAAAAAGACTGAGGACTCCATTTTGGGCTCAGGTTGATGTGTTGTTGACTGTAGAGGCAATGGTCATAGGTTGCGCAACTGGGATGCCAAACAGGATCCAGAAGTAACACCACGCCCAAGGCAAACACTGTACTATTAGAAGACTCTCCTAAACGATGTTGACGTATGATACGAGTTGGGGGCTGGGGCTTGTGAAAATGATTTCTGCGAAGTCTCAGCTGGTAGTGAATTGTTCCCTTTCAGCAAATATGTTTCCTTGTTCCTCTCTTTTTTTTCGCTCTTGATATTGCAGAGTTAGACTGAGTCAATTCTGAATGTACTCGTAAGAGACACAAAGTGACAGATAAAGGAAGGAAAGTACAAAGGCCCGGCGAGACTGCAACAACCAGTTCAAGGGGGATGAATGGTCCTGTTGGAAGACTCGCACTTGTTTCCCGTCCCAGATATCAAATCAATTGCACCACAGCCAGAGACTCGGATCACCTTCCAGGCTAGCCAGCGAGCCAACAGCCAGAAAATATCGAGTCTCGAAATATGTCAGTATGCGAAGCAAAAGGAAAGTGAGAGCAGCTTGATGATGTCGAGGCGGTGGTTGAACGATAACACGTTGTCGCGCCCTGGCTGTATTGATATGGTTGGTTTTCGCTGTGGTATCGTGAAGCGTCGCGAATCACGTTTGGGTCGGATCGACGGTCGTCGTTCGGTGCGTTGATGGAATGGTGAGGAATCGCGCAAGGTTTGTCGTGAACGCTAAAGCGACGACGGTGGGAAAGAAAAGAATTGATAAATCGCTGGTCGGCCGATGCAGTTGTGATGGCCAACTGACAGATTCGCCGTGTTGTCGCAAGTTGAAAGTTTTGCTTGGAGGAAGAAATGAACGGGAGGGTTGGGGGTCGGGGGAATCCAAGAGGGCAGCTGAAATGGAAGTGGAATGTTAACGCTGGCGCCTATTGCAGGATTGGATGGACGCAAGTAGAATGACTAAGCAGCCAGCCTGGGCATTGCATTGATTGCGCTGCAATGTTCTTGCGGGTGCAGCTCCGGCAGGCAAGGAGGACGTGCTGCGGGCGTTTGAAAGTGAGACGCAGCAGGCTCCCCATTTTTGAGAAGTGGGCCCGTGCACCAAACGGTTGAAAATGGTGGCATTACTAAGCCTAGACTCCCGGCACTGATAGCCAGCCGAAGACTCCTTGGCAATGACTGGCAGTGGAAAACACCTGTCTACACTAGCAAAAGCCCAAGAATGGAAGCATAGGCAACCGTACCAAACATAACATTTGGCGATAGACATACTAACTCGGTGAAAGGATGTATGACCACATTTTCATGGTCCCAACTCATCCTTGATTTTTCAATCTGTATTTCAGACGTCGCTGAAAGGCTGGCATCACTCTCAATGTTATTTATGACACGATCTACGGCATTCAGGCCGGATTACTGCAGGATGCGTATTGTTGCACTGTTACGCACACGAGCTGCTTGCGCTAGTAGGATGAGGGGAGTGCATGATGGTGATGACGATGTGTTTTGCCGTTGAAGGGAGCAGTGGCAGCTTCCGTGTTACACACCCGGACGGGCAATGGACAGGCGGACGACGATATCGTTGGATCATTCAAAGCAAATGAGCCCATGATCGTCAGAGTTGCGCAGTCCCCTCATTTATTTCATCTGTGGCTCTTTGGGTTTTCCACTTCTCTTCCGTCTTTGTTTGAACCTCCAGCTTTGGTCACCCAATCCGTCGCTGTTGTAGCACAAGCAAGCACTGACAGAACACTTTCACAATCCTCCACTCTGCGTCTTACAGAACTTAACTCAAGCACCTCGTTTTCCACTTTGTAATTACAGAGCCGCCACCGTAAAAGTCCCTTCCCGCGAAGTGGAAGCGGTGCTCGTTAGTGTACCGGTCGGTATCCATCGGTCCCTGTTGTCCTAGTGTGGTTCCTCCATCGGCCCATCCCGTCGGTTCGTCGTCGGGTCACTTTCATCATCGCTTTTTCCGTTGCTCTCGGCTCTTGGTACCTTTTTTCCAAAGTTACAAATCCTGCCTGCCCCACGTCAACCTATCTTTCCTCCATCTTCCCCAACTTCCCTACCTTACCGACCACTGCCTCTACCTCGCTCTGCTCCTCCATTCGTACTCAGAAATTCCAAGCCACCACCATCGTCACCACGACACCGTGGAAAAGAGGATTTGACAACTTGTGGCCGTGCCCTATTCCAATGTCAAATCTTCTTTACCATCGATCGTGAGCTGCGCTTCTCACAGATAAACTACAACACGATACCTCCCGACGTCGTTCCATTACGACCAGACATCGCCACCTCCAGTGACTTCACTCCAGTCTCCCCACGTTTCGGCAAGCTATTCCTAGCTACTTTCTAGAGCCAACCCATCCGTCCGAGCCTAGCTTCGAACCGTGCTCCCTATATACATCCAGCCTTAGGAACCGGTCATCCGAAATACGAGCCCTCCATAGTCCCATCGTTGCGCCGGTTGAGACGTACCGAAATCGCCCATTCCGCATTAGCAACGTGCCTTAGCATATTCCTCGGTCAAAATGGTTCTCACGCACACTACCAACCACACCTATAGCCATCCTTTCCCAACCGTCACGCTCGCCTTCTTCCTCCGGTACTGCTCCCCACAGCTCAATCCCTTCTCCCAACATGTCATGAGTACCGACACCCTCTCGTCGCATGTCGACCCGGCCACCGGCCGTCTGCACACGACTCGCATCCACCTCAAGAAGTCGCGCATGCCACCTGCTATCATGAAGATGCTCCCCATCAGCATTACTGGTGGTGCCACGACCGAGAAGGCGTCCTATATCCTGGAGACCAGCGTTGTGGACATGAAGGAGGGCTGGATGTCGACCGAAAGCCGGAATCTGAACTTTGCTGGCGTTCTGTCGGTGGTGGAGAAGCAGATCTATACGATTCCGAAGAACACTAATGATAATGGAACTACGACTGATGTTGCCACGACGGTGGTATTTCGATCTCGCTTTGGAGAGCGGATTCGCGACAAGCTGGGTCACTTGCACACGCACGAAGCCGAACAAGAGAAGGGCGGCTTCTTTTCTCGGCTTGGTGCCCACGGTATCCAGCGGAGCATTGAGAGCCTGGCTTCGAAGAAGACCCAGGACCAACTTGGCAAGAGCCGAGAAGGCATGAAGCTGATCCTCGAGCGACTTCGCCAGTCGGGCATAATGGGCGTCCTGGAGCTCAGAAAGATGACAAGGGAACGCAACATGGAGAAGGCTTGAACAGATTTCTGGGCCTGAGCGATGATGACCGTCTAGCCGTCCGTGCTCTGAGGCCTTGTCAGAGTTTATTCCATGCTTACTTGCCCTTGCTGCGCGGCCTTTGTCCGCCATTGAGCGTCTGCGAGACCTGTCCGGCCCGTCCTGTTCTCCGCTCAATCTGGATAAGAATGTGCCCCGACGGAAGACGCTCTTTCCACAGCACCGCAAGACGACATGTTCCCAAACCTCTGGGGACTGTCCTTTCGGTGCCGCGTTGTACATTACCTCATTGTCGTTGATTTTAGCATGGCGTTGGTGCAAGGTTCTATGTTGTCATTGGGTCGCATACGATGGGGGAAGTGATTCTCACGACACGCTCACACGCGAGCATATACCCGCGTACCCATTCTTGAAGCTTCTAAAAGGAGGAAGGAGACCAGCGGCTGCGGCGTCGACCGACTGTTTAAGGGACTGCGAGTACCCTGTGTGTTATTTCATTCCACTCTTTGTGTTGGTATTGGTTATCAAAAGGAACGGTTTCAACAATTCACTGTTTCAGTAGCGTATATGTGTGTACGTATATCATGCTGAGGACTGGTCGTCTGGAGGGAAATCTGAAAGGAGGTACGAGGACGTGGACATTGACGAGTGATGCATTACGGTTTAGTACTTATCGATTTCGTTCTATGGGTGGAAGTTCCTTACGAGCTAACGAGGTTTTAACAAAATAGTTAGGAAATTTATGAGATCGATCATTCTCATTCTCATCTTATTCACTGGTATCTAAATTCCTCATCCGTCATAAATCCCATGACTATCACATCCGTTTACATGGCAAACCTGCCCTTTCCACCTCCTTGGCGGCCCCCCTTCTTACCCGAGAACTTGCTCCAGCTCTGAGGTGCCGTGCCCTTGCCCAAGGGCTGCTGGCTCTGCGGCGCATCCGGGTTCGTGGTGAAGGGGGCCGTGCAGTTCAAGCAGTTGACTCTGCCCAGCAAGAACTCGAGCTGCCTGTACGCCGCGGACGGGGCATATTGGGGCACCATATGTCCAGTCATGTCGATTTGGACCCAGGTCAAGCCTCTCTCGCTGCCCATGGATCCAAACACGCCACCGGCCGCCAGCGTCGACAGGTCCGTCATGGTGTTATAAGGAACATAGAAGGGCTGGTCAGGCTTGTTCTGGAAGCCCAGCTTGCCGCCCCACGTCATGTTCTGGATGCCCAGGAGCGTGCCGTTGGCAATCAGGACCATATCCAGCGCGCCGTGGCTGATGATCACGTTCTTGGTGGCATCAATAACGTGCGGCAGCGCGCGGAAGGCAGACGGCTCCGACCGATCGCGTCCGCCCACGAACACATCCTGCTCCGCGCAACTGGACCACTTGACGTTCTCGGGCGCGTTGATGGCCTTCTTGACGTCGTCCCGGTCAAAGTACGCCTCGGCGCCGTCGGGCAGGTACTCCATCGAGCCCGGGAAGCCAAGAACGTCCCACAGCAGGGGGCAGGTGGTGGCAACCTGGTAGATGTCGAAGCACGGGTTCAGCAACAAGATGGCGTCGAAGATCTCGTAGAACAAGCCCCAGCACTCGTCGCGCGTGGTGCCGTTCTTATCGGTACCAGGCAACTTGGAGGGCTGCGGGCCCTTGGGCGGGTAGACGAGGTACTGCGAGACAAAGTCGGAGTAGCCACACTTAGCGTCGACCTTCTTGATGTGCTCGCGGAAGGTGTCGTTGAAGGGGAACAGTCCCTGCCAGTACTCGGTGAACTGGACGACGGGGATGGGCTCGGCGACCTCGTCCCACGAGATGACCGGGTCGTAGATCATCAGGCCGGACATGTCGTAGTACTCCTTGTCGTTGGCGTCGAGGAAGGCCGAGGCGATGTAAGGGCAGTACAGACCCGCGTACGACTCGCCCGTGATGTACACCTTGTACCCTTGCATGGCGAAGGTGTCGATGAAGTTCTTCCAGAAACCCATGAACTGCGCAGCCACGTCCTCCTCGGAAGTGGCCGTCACGTTGCCCGTGGAGAAACCGGTGCCCACGGGCTGCTCGACCCAGATCACGTTGGTCAGGGTGTGCCAGCTCCAGGGGTTTTTGACGGGCTTGTAGGTGCCGTATTGCCAGAGGAAGGGGCCGTTTTCTTGGAGGAAACCTTCCAAGGAAGAGCAGCCAGGCTACATATGAGGGAATGACTTGTTAGATAGGCCTGCTGGGTCTCTATGGGGGGTTCAAGGCAGACTTACACCTCCGTTGAGCCAAATTAGAATTTCCTTCTTAGCGGCCGGGTTGGTAGATGGGAAGAACCACCAGAACAGCTTGCTCGTCTCCTCGGGGTCCTGGCTGATGGGCAAAGTACCGGCATAGGACTCTCCCACGTCGAAGTCAACATCGGGGATGTTGGTCCCGTTGACAGCAAACTCTATGTTTCCGTGTGTCAGCTTCAAGAGCGTAGTAGCGTTCCAAGTCGTGCATAAAAACTCACTTTCAGTGTTGTCGTTCAGAAACTTGAACCCTTGAGTCTTGACGACATCACGCTCAACAACCGGCTCGGCCTTGACCTGAGCAGCATGGTTCTTGAGTCTATTGGCGACATGCTCCAGGTACTTCTTCTCAGCCTGGCCGAAGCTAGGACCGCCAGCGGTGGCAGTTGTCGCTAGGAGTAGCGACGAGATTAGCGTGGTTAAACGCATCTTGGGATGGTGACAACTTCTTTCGGGCACCTATTATAAAGGGGCCCGTGCGGTGTGAAGAAGAAGAAGAAGAAGAAGAAGAAGAAGAGGGAGGGGGAGAGGTGAAGAGAAAAAAGAGAGGTTGTACAGGTGAGAGGTAGGGAGAGGGGGAGTCTCACCATGAAGTACTCGACCGACAAGACAGGAAGAGGCTTCTTCCTTTCGAGTTTAGGTACTTCGTTCCTAATCCCAACGGAGCAACGATAGGCTTAGAAATCGACGAGGGATGGTAGATCAGTATTTCCAACTAGTTTAAACAGAAAAGGGAAGTGATCTGAAGCTGGAGTTCCACTCCGCCCTGCCTAGCTTCCGCATTGACATGGCTAGCAGGCTAGCAAGCAACAGCCTTCCCTCCGAGACCGCCTCCTTCATTCTTGTTGGTATATAGTCAAAAGTTTGTGGTTTCACTGTCCGGGCCGTTCAAGGCTTAAATAATACCTCTCTTCGTTTTTTTTCCGTTTCTGTTGTACGATGATGTTAATATGGCAGAAGAATCCAAGGAGCAAAAGGTCCAATGAAATTCTGCAGTTTGCCAGCTCCTTTACCTAGGATCCTTCATCCAGCATCAACGCTGTTGGGAGGACAAAGTCACAGTTAGGAAGGACGGGGTTTAGAAAGGGTGGTTGGTCCTTGTCCCAGTCCCGGTCCCGTCACTCGCACAACGACAACGTTTGCTTGCATTCCCACGGTGTGTATCATAATCCCGTCCTTTACTTTCCACAGTCTCCTCCTTAAGCACCTACCCGTCCTGGAAGTTGAGAGGCGACCAGTTGTGCAAATAGTGGGATATAAAGCAATGAAAAACCAAGCTGTTGGTCGCAAGACACAACTGAGGTAGGATGGATGTGCAGATACCGGCACGCATGTAAGTGCAGACCCAGGTTAACAAGATCAGACCAGTAGCACCATATGATCTCGGACTTGTACAGCAAGTTTGAATTGTGTCGTTGGTGCAGCATGGGATGGGGGGGGGGGGGGGGGGGTGCGCCGTGTGTTGGTGGGCATGTTCGTCATCCCAACTGGGGAGGTTGACAAGCGTCGAGATACATGACTCGAGGGAGAGAGTGAGAAGATACAGCATTGATGAGACGGCCGTACCATTGAAGCAATGCGATGTTGGTGATTACTGCAGCCTAGGTCTAGGATGACATGAACTACGTCAACCTCACAACCATGAGAAAGCCGGACCGCCGAGATATCAGCTAATATGATGCACACACATTTTGTTGGTCGTCGAGTACTGTACATATCGATCCTTGGTACATGAATCATGGATATTGTCTTACCTCATCCCCGATATTCGTTCGAATACCATAGCTCCGTTCCGCGGCGCAGGGAAGGGATACCAGGGAATATTGGAGAAAGCAGTAGGTAGTAACTCTCCGTCCAAAGCTCAGACTGAACTACTTTCTCAAGAGCAGATGCGGACGGTTCCGGACGATGGCGGAGTCGTCTGAATTTCGCGCAGAACTAAAGACAGAAAGAATAGTTTGAAAAATCAAAGACTACGGTTCCGAATCCCGAGTCGTTTATCGATCGCCTTCGCTATGTCTCCGTCGGCAGTTGGCGACAGGGGGATGAAAGTCTGGTTGTCTCCATCTTTCGGGTTGACTCAACGCCAGAATGCAACTTCAATGTCTGGAACTGGCGATACAATGAATATTTTGTCCAAATCCATGGAACGGAACTGCTCAATGTTCCCCACGTCCACGAACCGCCGGGCATGCTGCACACTGCACGGAGATCCACAACAGCCGCCACCATCCCGATATGGCAGGTCACTTACAAGTCTGCGACATTGATTGGTCAACAGAAAGCCAGCCGCGTCCGCTCCCTGTCCATCGCTCGCTCGCTCTTGGATGACGGAGCCGAACGTGCAAAATCGCGGTGCCGTGTTGGTGACGTTCTCAGGCGATGAGGAAGATAGGTATATCGGCTCCCGGCTAACAATTCCAACGAGGTCGACGCCGCGCAAAATCAAACTTGACCAAGTATTACTGCGCAAAGGGGTCAGAACCGGCCGAACAGAGTCGAGAATCTGACCAGTTGTGGTTTGATTTTGAAGGGGTATAGTACACAAATGAACTCTACAGATTCAAAGGCTGCTCTGTGTGAGGCCGGTATTTGTAGCGTGGTGAGCAAGTAAGTCGTCATCAGAGCGCCCCGAATTTAGCCTTACTTTCCGCCTTTCTTCTTTTTATCAGACCCTCCTTTCGCCGCTCTAGCCTGCGCTTCTTCCTGGGCGATGAGGTTTTGGATATCCATCGCTGTTAGCCAGGATTGCACGCTGTTGATGACTTTATCCAGAATCTCCCCGCCTTGTAAGACATTGGGGAGGTTGTGGACATCCAGCCCACTTCGATGATCAGTACACCGGTCCTGCTGGTAGTTATACGTCCTGATCTTATCACCGCGCGACATCTGTGCCTGAGATAGCACACTGTCTCTCAGGTCCTTTGCCTGCGCATCTCTTTGTTCCCGCCTTAGCGACGCGATTCTCGAACGGAGCAAGCGCCAAGCCTTTTCTCTGTTTTGCGACTGCGATCGCGAATCCTGCATGCTGACCTGAATACCTGTCGGGATATGGGTCAACCGAATAGCAGATTCCGTCTTGTTGACGTGCTGACCGCCGGCACCGCTCGCGCGCATCTTCTCTGATTTGACTTCTGTCGGATCAATGTAGAAGTCACTTTCAGGGTTGTTGAAGTCGTTCTCGGCATCGGTGCTGTTTTCGGGGAATGATGGCAAGACCCAAACTGCCACCGCACTTGTGTGAGTGCGTCCCTGCTTCTCGGTCGCAGGAATACGTTGCACGCGGTGCATACCCGCCTCTCCGCGGAACGCTGCGAAAGCGCCGGGATCCGTTACTTCGAGTACGGCTTCTGAGATTGGAACCTCGCCGTCCAAGCCTGGCGTGCGATCTTCGGCTTCCTGGTACGACAGCACTCGCGCAGTATATCCCTTGTTCTCGCAATATTTTTGATACATGCGGAAAAGGGTATCGGCAAAGTGGCGCCCTTCAGTGCCTCCTGGCCCCGGATGAAGTTCTATCAGACATGGCATGTCCGCAAACGGGTGCTTCGGTGTCAGGGTGGCTGAGAGATTCGTCCCCAGAGTTTCCAGGTGCTTTTTTGTTGCATCGAGATCGTCGTTAGCGAGCTGGCGCAGCTCGGCGTCGTCTGACTTCAGAAGTCCATGGAGCTCGTCCAATGCTGCCTTGGCCTTGTCCAGCTCTTGTAGAGCAGCGACAACCTTTGAGATTTCGCCGGCGCGCTTCGCGGCTGCAGGTTCGTAGTCGCTCTCAAGTTGCTTCGTCAATTGTTGATGTTCGGCGGCCAGTTTGCGCGCTCGTTCGAGGAGGACAGGTGGGAGTCCTGCGAGTGTTTGAGTGGCTGCAACAAAGAGACGCGTCAGAAGGTGCTTCTTAGCAGATCGGATTCCACGGCTTGCGACCAGAACGACGAGAGAAATGCTTCCACTTGGGATGCTGTGAACGTACCTGTACTAGCTTTGCGAAGTTGAAGAGAGACGAAGACACCCGAGCGCCTTAACGAACGGGCGCAGCTCCGACATACCCATGGTGCTGCCAACATGGTTGCAGAAAGACGAAAAACCTTTGCGACATCCAGATAGCTTCCAGAGCTGCCCGGGTCAATGCAAGGTCAAATGCCAATCCTCCCGGTGGGAACTGCTCTTCCCACTTTGCGGGCGGAGGGGTTCCCAAATTCCATAGGCCAATTGAACGTTACGCAGCGCGTATCTTTCCCCATACATCATTCACTGCCTGCCGGAAATCTTCCGTATCTTACCGTAAAAAATCGCCTGCCGGAAATAATCTGATGTCAGTCTGGACCTCCAGATCCCGGCAAAATGCGATGAATTGGCTTTCAATTGCAGCCCCTCCCCCGCAGCGCGTGCCTGTTCCGTCTGAGGTGTCGTCGCAATTCGTTCCCCTGGACGAGCCACCCATTCGAGCCGTTGCGCACTTGAGTCACCACTGTCAGCCAAAGAGGTTCCCTTTTGGAAGGACTTTTCGACAACCCACCCGGATTGCCACCAGCACACAACAGACATCTTCCAACATGGCGACAAATGTCAACGCCGAGGCCCTCAAGGAGACGCCCATCCCCGAGGCCCTCGAGAAGCAAGCTGCCTCCAAGCAGACAGTGGATCCCTACAATGTCAGTTCTGGTTAGGTCTGTGTACTTGCATATGTACGGCGCATTCGTCTGACTGCCTCTCTTCCGTCGCAAACAGGTCCAAGGCGAGGTCGGCGAGGATGGCGTTGTCAAGGCCATCGATTACAACAAGCTGGTCGAGGAGTTCGGCACCAAGAAGATCGACCAGGCCCTGCTCAATCGCCTCGAGAGGGTCACCGGCAAGAAGCCCCATCGCTTCCTCCGGAGAGGCATTGTCTTCTCCCACCGCGACCTCGAGCTTATTCTCGACCGCTATGAGAAGGGCGAGCCCTTCTTCCTCTACACCGGCCGCGGCCCTTCCTCCGACAGTGTCCACGTTGGCCACACCATTCCCTTCGAGTTCACAAAGTGGCTTCAGGATACCTTCGATGTTCCTCTGGTTATCATGATGACCGACGACGAGAAGTACCTCTTCTCCGACAAGAGGACGATCGAGGAGGTTGAGGGCTACTGCAGCAACAACGCCAAGGATATCATTGCCGTCGGCTTCGATCCCAACAAGACTTTCATCTTCAGCGATTTCCAGTTTATGGGTGGCGCCTTCTACAAGAACGTTGTGCGCTTGTCCAAGCACATCACCCTCAACCAGGCTCGCGCCATTTTCGGCTTCAACGATAGCACCAACATCGGTCGCATTCACTTCGGCAGTATTCAGGGTGCTAGCAGTTGGGCGTCGTCCTTCCCCCATATCTTCGGCGAAGATGAGTCCAAGACCGTGGCTATTCCTTGCCTTATTCCTTGCGCCATCGACCAGGATCCCTACTTCAGAATGACCAGAGACGTCTCCGCTCGTTTGAAGTACAAGAACACCAACACCTCGTACGCGAAGCCAGCCCTCATTCACTCCCGTTTCCTTGATGCTCTTCAGGGTCCCGGCACAAAGGTACGTACTAGGCGTTTATCCCTTTGTCTAAAATGAGCATGGTGTTTATTGACATGTGTATAGATGTCCGCTTCCATCGACGAGTCTGCTAGTAAGTCATTGCCCCTTTTTTTTCACGCGCAGGTCACAATTGGGCCGACCACATAGATTTCTGCGGTCTCCTATTCGAGCGTATGCTGACCTTCGCAAAAAGTTTTCATGAGAGATACCCCCAACCAAATCAAGAACAAGATCAACAAGTATGCCTACTCGGGTGGCAAGGTCACCGTTGAGGAGCACCGCGAGAAGGGAGGTGACACCAGCGTCGATGTGGCCTTCCAGTACTTGCGCTTCTTCCTCGAAGATGACGAGGAGCTGGAGAAGATCCGCGTCGCCTACGAGTCTGGTGAAATGTTGACTGGCGAGCTCAAGGCAATCTGCATCAAGGAGCTCCAGAAATATGTCGCCGCTTTCCAGGAAAGGAGGGCCAAGGTCGACGACGAGGCTGTCAAGCTGTTCATGGAGACACGCCCTCTCAAGTGGAACGGAAACCCTCGTGCCCCTATCGTGGTGCCCCAGGTGCAGACCGCTGATGGGGAGGCGGCCACTGAGGGTGGAGATGGAAAGTTGACCAAGAACCAGCTCAAGAAGCTCGAGAAGCAGAAGCAAATAGAGGCCAAGAAGGCCCAAAAGGCTAAGGAGAAGGAGGAGAAAGACAAGGCTGCTGCCCAAGCTTAGAAGACAACAGAAACACCAAGGAAGAGATCTCTGAAGCAAAATATCAAGCGTCATTTCCCAACTCTGTCACAAGTACGAGGTATTCTGAAAAGGTGGATACTTCGGAAACGGCCCTGACGCATCTGTGCTGGTTTGTGCAAGCGAGTCGGACGTTCTTTGTCACATTGCCCACGACCCTGGTGCCATAAGAACAGAGCCAGACAAAAAGGACTTGTAACGGGAATATAAGCATGTCAAATGACCGAAACAAGTATATACGACCATAGATGGTAGAAAACTCGGGATCCCGTCCGCTCTCCCATAGATAAGCTACCAATCGCCTGACTAGTAGTTGGGTCGGTGATGACCAGCAAATCCCAGGTGTTGTATGTTTTTTTTGCCCTTTTGCATCCCTTTTTAACGTTCCGCTTCTCACCCAGCGGCAGTTACTAACTTTTGCTGGCTTTCTGATCCGTTGAAGTGAAGGGGTGATAATTTCCTTTCACTCTCAACATCGCTCTTCACGCTTCCACTTTCGACGTCCGCTTGGGTGGACTCTATCCTCTGTACACCAGCAAGTTGTCGTTGGATCCACTCCCTCATCCCCGAGGGAATCGTGCTCTCATATAAGTCCTCACATATAACCATTAGGCCAGACGCTGAGCATGCGTTAGTAAAAGAGTAACATACAGCCTCCACTTGTCTAGGCCAGGGGCGCTTCTATTCCAGACTAGGACAGCTCACGACAATAGGATGGAGTGTCACTCACACAACCAGATCCGGTAGACGTCCGCCAACAAGGGCAACAGGGCTGTTACGGTAGCGATCTGCCCAAAGGTCCATTTGTTTCTTGATATGATGGACCGGCACGATAGTTCATCTCATGTCGCGAGACAGCATATATGATCATGTCCATCCACATGAGAATAAATGCCAGCGTTGCTGTGAGGACTGGTAGACAGCGACGGAGTAACCTGATGTATTTTCGGGTGGTCTTTGCCGATATCCTACCCTCAAGCAATAACAGAATGGGACTTCCGATCCAGGTGAGGAGAAAGAATTGAGCAATGAACAGTGCATCGCTGAACCGAGATACAACATCCCCAATCATCACGCACCTCCACTCGTATATCGATTCCCCGTGGGAACTCGCATAGCCAGAGTACCCGTGTCTGGTTGTGGCCAGGATTATGAAGAGGATGCCGAGGGCTGTGACGGTGAGACGAGGATATGTGTTTTGTCTTCGGTACCACGGCCATAAAGACATCAATACCATAAAGGAAAGGTGCGCTTCGCGGTAGGAGAACCAATGTTTGTAGGCCATCGGATCGGTCTTCGCCAGACTGTCCAGAATGATGCCCGCCATGGTAATATCGTAGGTGAAAAAAACAGTAAAGATCCAGAAGGAGCGAAGCGAGTCGTCAAGCCGTTTCCATCCGGGAGGGGGTTGGATCTCAGCAAGGTCACTCCATGTGCTCCAAGGTTTTCCCGACCTGTCTTTCCACACCGCACGCATCAACCGAGCGGCATAGATGACAGACAAAAGCGTGGTGAGAATCATCAGGACAACATTGATGGCATAGAGCTGCATCATCCGGGTTAGAGACCAAGACTCACCCACAGTGTCGTCTACGATCACTGTCGAAGAGGATGAGAGTGACTTACACCAATACCGGATAAATTCGGATCACCTGTCCAGTTGATGTTGTTACAAAATTTGTCCTGGCATTGCTTTTCGATAATGGTAAGAAGTCTGTCGGCGTCGTAGGCAGTCTGAGCATCGTGTAATTCCCACTTGCGTGGTCCGTAATGGTAAAGCCATATTGAATCGGCGATCCAGGAGAGCCATTCCCCAAGCTGACCAAGTGTAACATTGTCAGAGATATATCGGGGTAGCTGTGAAGAAATATCGTGAGACTCGTAAGTGGTAGAGTAGTTGTGTCATTCAAAAGCAAGCGCCTAAAGTCTGCGGCAAAGCTGCCAGCTGCCTCGCAGTCGGGTATCGGCGTCAAACGAGTCAGGTTCAGAGCGAGGAGGATGGGAGATATTTCGGGAGCCTGAAGCCATTCCGATATGGTGCTATTCATTGTGGTTTCGAGAATGGACAGAAAGTGAGGCTGGTCTTCAAACTTAAAGAGAAGGGAAAGAGAGACTGAAAACCGGAGGGGAACACAAAAACAAGAAAAGGGAAAAAAATGTGAACGTGGTCGCCTTATCGGAAACAGAGACGTCGACTTAATGTGAAAAATACTGGAGAGATCATGCCGCTCATGGATATCAAAAGTCCAGGCAACGAAGGAAATGTCATCGGGAGTGGCGTTGCCGAAGGACAGGAGAGATCAGGCTGCCGTATAGTCCAATGCTTCATCAGTTTATACCAGAGAGGCAGATGCCAGGCAACCGCGCGGCAAGTTGGATGTTGAAGCGAGTCCTGGTTCGAACTATTAGCTCTAAACATCAGCAAATCCCACATAATGGGCGGCGAATACATAGCTCTGTCGACTATTAGGAGCCTGATCGGCACCTCGTTCTCAATATGGTCGGAAGGAATCGTGGGAGGTGATGTACCCCAGTGGCGCAGAAAGTGATAAGGCTTTCGGTTTTAGATTTTGACAGCACTGCCATGGCCTAGTGTACCTGATAACAAAGTTGACGGGCAATGCAAGATGGAGATAGTGTGAGAAGATTTTGGGCGTTTGCTGCCCAGACCGCTAGTCCTTTGCCCTACAGGCATCCTCTTTGACAGCGGTCCTGGCACTTCCCAGAATCCCCTCGTTTGCAGACCTTCTTCCTCTTTGTGCTATTATATAGCTGGCGATCCCTTCCAGCTTCAGTTAGCTGGATCCCTCAATCGACATGATTCCCATCATTCGTGATCCATCTCATAGATAGCCCTTTTGGTTTTCATGGATATGCGAGAGAACGATTTCTCGTGGAGGTCGTTTTTAAGATGGATGGCATTTTAGTCGTCGTGCTGGATAAGCGGTAGAAGAAGACAAGATCGTCGACTAACGACACTGCCACTCAGTCATTCAAGCCAAAATATAACATTCAGAACACATTTGAACAGTACAAACGGAAGATCAATGAGGACGAAGCAATATGAAGAATAGCACAGAACAACCCCAAAAAGTGTTGGCCTGATGATAGCACAAGACAAAAAGAAGTTTGCAGAAAAAGAAACATATGATCCGACCCAGGCTCGATCTGGGGACCTTCAGTGTGTTAGACTGACGTGATAACCAACTACACCATCGGACCAGTTATTATTATTCAATGCGCTTTAAAAGAGTACTCTTGTGTGCCCTTGAACTGAGGTAGCGATAAGGAAAAAAAGTGGAAATATCACAACTAGCTTCATCCCTGAAAGCGAGAAAAAAAGGATGATTTGAAGAGATATGCCCAATAACAGGATTGAACTGTTGACCTTCGCATTACTTGATATCAAAGAACTGATATTAGTACGACGCTCTAACCAGCTGAGCTAATCGGGCTTCGTTAAAGGTTTATGACTGGATATTGTACTAATATTCCCAAGCATAGGAAATCACCAACGATCTTGATGTCTGCTCGGGGCAGAGAGTATTCCATGTATAGCTTGAAATATGGGAAGACATAGTTCTGAACGTCTACCACAAAGCGACTTCGCCCTTTATGCACTTCCTTTTGGCAGCGTAGCCCTCCTCATCCTCGACAACCTCCTCCCACACTTCCCCGCCCCTTCCTTAATCAGCTCCTTGAACGTATCAATAATCCCCTCATAAGCCGGATGCTTCCCAAAGCCCTCAAACCACAACAGCCCCGCACCCTTTCCAGGGAACGTATACGGAATCCAGCTAAACGGATCGTAAAAGTCCCAAAGCGTGATGCCCACGCACTCCTTGACCTTGACACACGCCCTCGCCACCTTCTGATATCCATCCTTCTGCCACTCCAAACTGGTCTCATTGACGGGAATCGTGATCCGCACATCCAGCTCCGTGAACGCCACCTCCGCCGCTCCGGCCTGGACATATCCCCTCATCGTGGCCTCGAGGTCCCCCGCCGTCGGGTGGTTGTCCGCGTGCATATGTGCCTGCATGCCGACACCATCGACGCGCAGGCCGGCGTCACGGAGCATCTTCACCAGCTTTCTCGTTCCCTCCGTCTTGACAGAGGTAGGTCTCTCAATGCCGTAATCGTTGTAATAAAGCTTCGCGCTAGGATCGACCTCGGCAGCCGTCTTGAACGCAAGCCGGATGAACTCCTCGCCCAGAACCTTGTAGAAGACACTCTGCCTGTAGCCGCCATCCTCATCGTTCAGCGCCTCGTTGACCACGTCCCAGGCGTAGCACTTGCCCCTGTAGTGGCCCATTACACCCTCGATGTGGCGGACGATGACGGCGCTCAGCTCTTCTTTCGTCCACTCGGTCTCGTTCTTGGCTTCCACCCAGGGCGCAAGCTGGCTGTGCCAGACGAGCGCGTGGCAGCGAAGGAGCTTGCCGGTTTTGGCGGCGAGAGACACGACGATGTCGCCCTCGGTGAAGTTGAATACTCCGGGGGAGGGCTCGGTGAAGAGCCATTTTTGCCCGTTCGTGGGTGTGGTTTGCCCGAACTCGGACGGGTCAGCGAAGATGGCGTCGTACTGAGCGTATGAGGCCTCGTAGCCGGCGCGCTCGCGCTGGCCGGGAGTGTCGGTTGCAGCACCGAAGTACTTGAGGCCGGCTAGGGTGGCATAGTGGTGAAGTTGGGCGGCTGCGAGAGGAGTGAGGATGGGAAGGAGAGCTGCGGCTGTTGCGAAAGGGAGCCGCATTTTGAATATCTCCGAGTGTCTCGGTTTAGGGGGTAGGGGTTAGGGGAAGCTGGGGAGGAAAGAGGCCCGAACAATCACCCGAATCAAAAGTGAACGGGTTCCGGTCGCTTTCTGTCAACTGTGTAGGGGTAGACTGGAGGTGTAAGTAAGAAACATCACGGCTTCTTGTGTCTTTTTGAGGTTGTCTGGTACCGTGGAAATGGAACCATAACACGGGGATCTCGCCATAGGATTTACCCGCTCGTACCTTAATAAAACATCATCTCGTGTTAGTGACCGATCACAACCCATTTCCCCTCACCTTTGCTGGAAGCCTAGGAAATCGGAGGATTGACCCGACGGCGAGGTTCCCTCATTTAGCCGTACCGGTGGTTAGCATCACCGACAAGCTTCTTACGGGAGGTCTCCCATTCGGCTCTCCGCACTTCCTCATAAGGCCTTGGCTTCCGGGTAAATGAAGTGTGCGTCCAACATGGCCTCCAAGGATCGATGGCCCAGAGCCGCGTTTACCGTGAAGAAGGTTGACCGAACAGAGGAAAGAATTCGACGTAGGCAAGGAAGAGTGTTCCTAGGTCAGACAATATAGAAGTTGATAACGTTGACCGACCTCTATACAACAACTTGTCTGCCAGTACCATTTCCCAAACCCACAACGGTTTCGAGTACACAGTAACCGACCGGTCTTTTGTGACCAAGACCGCGATGTAACCAAACTGAAGGCTTGCATGGACTATTGAATATCACGTAAAGTGATGTCAAGTTGATCATCGTGATCCTCTCGGCGGTGGACCAGTCGCCAAGACCCTTTGACCCGGCATACGTCATTGTCAACAATGCGATCTTTGAGTTGGTGATCCATCCGGACATTTGATCTGCCAGCAGGATCTGAATGCCTTCAAGTCGGAATAACGTCAAGTATGGATCCTTATTTCCACCCGTACTTGAGCTAGCCCATGTGATGGAGTATGCCGAGCCCGGTGTCACTGACAAAGCGGAAGATTTCCGGTTTACGAACCTGCCTGGCGGACGGACGGCCATCAAGGTCACGACTACGGGTACCGGCTCGAGGAAAACACCATGCCAAGACTCGAGGCTGAGATGACCAGGGACACTGTGTGGATGAAATTCCCCGCGATGTAAACAGACAAGGACAGGGGCAACATAGGGGTAGGACACTTTGCAAAATCTGGGGTTCAGTAGGGCTGAAGGAGCCAAAGTTGAGGGTGGACGATAAACAATCGATCCATGTTACCGTTCATTCAATATGCCGGGGTATTAGTAGGATGAGAGAAAGCTCAATGATCTATGTAACACGCAGTTGGTGTTCCCGAACGCTCCACGATGAAATCAAGTTATGCCTGAAAGAAACCCAGAAAGCCAAACCCAAAACCCGTTCCCAATTTTTTTTTTACTCCGAAACAGCGCCAAAGCAAGTCTCCATAATGATACCAGTAATCTGGTAAGGGTCGGCGTTGGACGCGGGGCGACGGTCCTCGAAGTAACCGTAGCCTTTGGCGCCGCATTCCCTAGGAATACGGATAGAGGCACCACGGTTGGCGACACCATATGTGAAAGAGTCGATAGAGCCAGTCTCGTGACGGCCGGTGAGACGCTTGTCGTTGCCCTCGCCGTAGACGGCGATGTGCTCCTTGTGGCGGCTCTCGAGCTTCTTGATAGCATCCTCGATGTACTTCATGCCACCCTCATTGCGCATGTTCTCGGTAGAGAAGTTGGTGTGGAGGCCAGCGCCGTTCCAGTCACCAGGGATGGGCTTGGGGTCGAAGGAGACCTTGGCGCCGAACTCCTCAGACACGCGGTGGAGGAGGAAGCGAGCGAGCCAGAGGTGGTCACCCATCTCAATGCCGTCGCAAGGGCCGACCTGGAACTCCCACTGGGCAGGCATGACCTCGGCGTTGGTGCCGGAGATCTTGACGCCGGCATACAAGCAGCACTTGTAGTGGGCCTCGACGATATCACGCTGGACAACCTTGCCAGCGCCGACACCGCAGTAGTAGGGACCCTGGGGAGCGGGGAAACCGTTCTTGGGCCAGCCGTAGGGCCTGTCGTTGAGGTCGAGGAGAGTGTACTCCTGCTCGAGACCGAACCAGGGGATCTGGTCGGCATGGGCCTCCATCAACTTGGCGGCCTCATATCTGTGGTTGAACTTGTTGGGGGTGCCATCGGCGTTCCAGCACTCGGAGAGGACGAGAATGTTGGGGGCACCACGGAACGGGTCAGGGAAGACGGCTACGGGCTGTGGAGGGAAAGTCATGTTAGCGCCATGGCTCGGCAGAGAGCGTGGTAACGCTAATGATTGTATCTTACCTTGAGGTAGACATCGGAGTCCGCGCCGGGGGCCTGGCCAGTCGACGAACCATCGAAGTTCCAGATGGGAAGCTCCTCAGGCTTATATTGTTCCTCCTTCTCGGGAAGAGTCTAGAACAGGGCGAGTTAGCATCATGTCATGGACTCTTTGTAAAGCACATTGTTCGCTTTTGTTTCCATGTTGTCACTCATGCGGCACAACCTATCGCTGCATCCGCTATCGCGATTGATCGAAAGCTAGGCTGTAATTGTAATGGGCGTGCTAGTGGACCGGCTTGCGGCAGGGTTGGTCGGCATATTCTGCACAACCATTGCCCACCGCGATAAGCACGAATCCGACCAGGAAATGCCTTCGCTATCGGGCGGCGGTCTCGGCGCAAGGTGGAAACGCATCGTGGATTGCGTGCGAGCGTGACATGCTAGGTTTTTTTTCAGGCGGGCGATGGTCGGTGGAGAGGGTGGAGTTCGTTGATGCGAAGCCAGCGGGGCCATTTCCCTTCTTGTCGAACGCCACTTGAGTTTCGGGCGTGGGTCCGCCGGGCAGCCGGTGGATAACCGAGAGGGATGCTGGAGTCCTAACCAAGCCGCACAGCCATAGGGAACCGGAACCAGATGAGCATGTGTCATCCAGTCACGCTTCTCGTATGACTGCGCCACAAAGGCCAGTGCCCTGCACAGCGCCCGGAATGCTAATGCACTCGAGGCTGGTGCAGAGTCCAACACCACGTCACGACAGGCTGAAACCGGTTTTGTGGGACGCGAAGAGCGTGGGAATGGGAGGAAAGGGACTCGGGGATCGTCGCACTCTCCGCCGTCGTGGTTGGCTGCTTGGGTTGCGCACTAAAAGAGAGGGCAAAGTCGGAGAGCCCGTCGATTGGCTGATGGTATAGTGGATTCGTGGATGCGCCGAGAGTGATGACGGACAAAAGGGTCCATGGAACAAAGTCGCGGAACAATGCGCAAAAGAAAAATAGACGAAGAGACTCACCCTCGACTTTGACCTGGTACCGCCCTCGCTGTCGATCCAGATGTACTCGGCGATAAGCTGGCCGTTCTGGGGAAGACGCATGAACTTCTTGAGGTTCTCCGCGTTGGAGAGGAATGTTGTTTCTGACGCCTGTAGTCCGGATGCGGTCAGTGACCAAGTCCCACCATGTAGGTGTACCAACGACCTCAACAGCGGCAAACGGGTGTTCAGGCCTGGGTTGGGGTCGTTGGCTGCCATAGGCGAATGGCACAGAGGGTATATAGACTCACCATTTTTGCGGTTGTGTGTGTGAATGTGAAGATGGGAAGAATATTACGTATGGAAAAAAGAATCCGGGGTTTTGTTCGGGAAACCAAAGCAAAGAGGGCGTGTTGCGTTTTAAAGAGCTGAGGCAATGGGGTATCCTAGCGTCCAAAGATATGATAGTAGTGATAGAGAGAAGAGACAATAGATACGGGCTGCAGTTTCGGCGGGGTCTGAGGCTTTTTATGTTCTTTTGCTTCTGTCGCCGGGCCTACCTCACCGTTGTCGCAGGATAGAGATACATCTAGGGATGTGTTGAGGTACTCGAGATACGGAGCAGGGTACGGGTGGTACGGTTCTGGATGTATACCGTGCATCAAGTCCAAAGAAACTTTTCTGGCCTTGGACCCAGAGATAAGAAGCGGCACCCAAGAAAAACAGGGGTAGCTGGCTAAAACGCTGGGTCGACCGACGCTCCCCAAGGAATCGAGAAAATGCCCGTGAGCGTGGTGTTCGGCGCGGTGCTCACTGACACACAGACACTCCGTGCATGCCATCTTGACGGTCCGCCCAAACGAGGAGTGGAGAGGCGGAACAGTCTAATTCGGTGAGCCCGGTGGGGTGGTCAATTACCCTCGTCAAGCCTACTGGTCGCGGTCAACAGCCCTGGGGCCGGCTTGCCAGTGGGATGGAGAAGGCAGGAGACAAGGCGGGGGGAGGCGAGGGCTGGATTCCTGCTACGTCGACGAAAGTATACTTCTCTCCAGCCAATGTACATCGTGAGGTAGCTACGACAGTCCTACTTGTTGGGGGTACGTACCTGGCTACTCGCTCGGCCGTCCAGGAACAAATCTCACTCTGCAGAACCATCCATCGGTTCGTCTTTTACTGCCTCTCTTTTTACGAGCCGATTGGCATCAGGGGCCAGTTTTAACTAGACATTGTCACGGTGTTCGCTGGTAACTTTTTGCTACGTGTACCATAGACTCCGAAGTGGTCTTTGCTTTGGCGATTCATGCAGAATTCTAGACCGAGCTGTTGTTGCTTTCCACTTTACACTTCCAGCAGGTCAGTGTTCCCCTGCTCCGGTGCCCTCTACCTATAGCAGCAACCGCCTGTCGGTGTTCCTCGTTGCTGCCCTTCTGTGTCCTGTTCTATTTCAGTCGGGGGGCTGCACTGCGGAAAACAGTGGGCACGTTTGGCACATTTACCGCTCCCACAGCTCGGGTCTCAACAAAGACATAATAGCCCAGAAGTACCCCGTTACGACAACACCGGCAAGCGGCAGCCTTTCACGGGAAATGTTCGTGATCGACGGAACCAAAAGAGATGTTCCAAGTTGCTTCCCTATTACGTAGAGAACTGGGGACTCATCCTCATCTCGTCCGCTGTTCAGTAGTGTCGTGACCGTCTTTGCGTCTCGATGTGCATCTGGCATCTGCCCATTGTTCCAGTGTCCACCCGTTCGTCCGTAATGTATAATTTCATTCCAGCATTTCCCTTTTCGGCGTTTGGCAACAGATCTCCAACTTGGATTGCATAAGTTGAAGGCGGTGAGTTTGGCAGCTGCCATGCTGTTTTACACCAGAGTCACCGGCCTGCTTTGATTAAAACCCCCGCTTCGTTGCGGAATGCCTATTGAAGTGACGTGACGATGGCTTCCTGTTCGAAATTCAGGGTCGTCGACGGCTTGTGGGGAGTTTGCCACCGCGGTGTTGAAGTTCCCATGCGATCGGAGATCTGAGGGTGAATAAGAAACTACCGATGGTTTCGGCTCACATGTAACTTTTCCCACTTTACAAGATCGTCATTACCTCGGGGGTTATACGTAAATGTAGATGGGAATAGGCAAACCCCACGTTTTGTGATCACCTAATTGATTCTTATGTCTTGCAGTCACCCGAGAGATTGTTGAGGCCTTTTCGATCTTATTTCATGTGAGATATTTCCTTCAACCTCGAGGTCATGGTTCGTGGTTCCTGAGACATCCAAATTGGGGGTCTGATACCAATCAGACGCTCGACTAAGAGCCTTTATCGATACCCGTCAACGCGGCTGAAAAGTAAAGTGTGGTGGTCACGTCCAAAAACGGGTTTCAAGGGTGTGTGGAAGCGTGGGGTGGAGTATCAGCGACCGAACTTTGGCTGAATGTTCCACAGCATCACAACTCACAAGCAGGGCACGACATCACACACAAATTCGACAATTGAGGGCATACGCCCTCATCGTCACTGAAGTGGCTGGAGCAGCGATGGAGCGGGAAGTGCGACTCCCCCAAAAATGCTTCCAACCTCGCCCAACAGGGGGCCGATCTGTCGAGTCATATGGATGGATCTTTGGTCGAGGATCTTCCTCACTGACGATGCCTGGCGTCCCCGGCACTCCGCTGGCGGTTATCCATCCCTATCTCCCCCATCAATGAGCGTTCCTGTTTTCAGCGTTTTTTTAGGTCATTCAAGAAATCGCTTCAGGTATCGTGACCGTACGGCAGTCCACCGTCGGCCCCCGCTATGACTCTTCGGCCCGGGAGGGCTCCTCTCTCTGTCAGGCGGAAACACTGGCGGATAAGGTGGGCGGATACCTCCCAGGTTGAACAGGAATCGAGCCGCGATTGTCAGTTCCATTGAAAGAGGGGCAGGGCGAGCGGCCGTGGGTCCCTCTTCTAATTGACATATGACCGTGTAATCGCCCCCAAAACCCCTGGATCCGGGGATGAGCGTTCTGCCGTGGCATTTTAACATAACCCCAGATCCGACCTCAGGAGAGACCCTTCGTCCTGTGGAAGGTTTCAAGAACTTCCAATCTTTCCTCAACCTCACAGTGGTAGGACCAGAGAGAAACATGACCTTCAACCCAGCCCCTGCCAAGACCGTATTCTTTGTTTGTTGACATCATCCGGTCACGCTTGTGTTTTTACCTATCCACCCTCCAAAATTGGAACTGCATGTTCACTTCTCTTGTTCCTATAAATCATTTGGTCTCTGAAACTCGTGTCGAAGATGGTTTTGTGATAAAGAGACATAATAGACGGCTGACTGGCGCCGAGTGCACTGGTGAACACAGCGGCTGAGGATCCTATCCAGCAACGTTTGTTCCGATTACTGTACACACTGTGTACAAGCGCTCCAAGTCAGACGCGTGGTGTCCAGAATTTTTCCTGTGGAATCCAGGTCGGCCAGAGGTCTTCGTCGTCCCCGTCAATATTGCTTTCAGAAAAACGCCAGCCGTGGGCGAATAACTTTGCAACATAACGTACAGGTTGTGCTTCCAAACATGCTGTACACTACTATGCAGTAGAGACCTGGTTCGAGACGGCGAACTTTGACCATCTTGCCGCCTTCAAAGTCCTAACTTTTGGCATTCAACCGATCAACGTTTCAGTTGCCTCTTTGAAGCCGGCAGAAACGGACTGCTCAGAGTCAAATCCGTCACCAATGGGAATCAAGTTAAAAGTCAGGACAGCCGCCAGGACAATAAGTGGGGCCCCCAACAAAGGGGAGCATGAAAACGTCTTGCACTTGCCCTGCATATCCGTTGTTCAGTATCAGGCTATGCCGCCATGGTATCATTTCCAGCGCAACCTCAACGCAACCTTTCAGCGCAACCCTTCAGCTGCAAGGCCCAGAACAAGCCGGACCTGCAAACCGTCCACACAGAGCAACATCGGTGCAGCATCGGTGCAGCCGCCGGGGCAGGGCAACAGCAGGCCAGCGTCAGGTACGGATCCGTCTTACCGTCCCACAACGGACACCTCCACGACGACACGCCCAACCCGATGGTCCGTTCTCGGGGGTCAAGGATGTGCCCTTGGACCCTTGCAGTTTTGTAGGTAAGAATAATTCAATTGAATCGCCCAATTCCCACGACATCGATGTGGCTATCACAGCCGATTCGCTCTTTGGCTCTAGGTCGTGCCGCGAACACCACGCTTAACCTTGATCTTATCGCGTCCTTCTCATTGGTCGCTTACTTGAAGCTTTTCGTTGAGCCGTCGACAATTTTTTTTCCCTTCAACGTCTTGTCGTACCGTGTCCTTCCAGTTTCTTTCGTATGGTTTGAGCTTTTTGGTTAAATGTCATTGGGAAATCGTGATCAATTCTGCGGTTGTGTGCGTGTCTCCAATTTTTACTTTGGACAATTCAAAAAAAAAAAAAGAAAAAAGCCAAAGATCCACTAACGGAATTGGCGGTAGATCATTGCGAAGCATGTTAGCCCAAAGTTCCACCACGCCCTTTCACAGAAAACACCCCGTTCCTTTTCCGTGAACCCCTGCATATGGCTGTTCCCCTTGGTCTTGGCGAACACTTCCACGCCTTTTTCCGTTCTTTCCCCAGAGTCTGCCATGTCCTTTGCGCAACCCGCATTTTTCTCGGCTCCTCCCCGCATTCAGATCATTGCTCCCCATGAGAACCCCGGCCTTTCCCGAGATCTTCCCGTCAGGGTGTTAAGTGTGGTTCCTGGCCGGTGGTGGTGGTCTCGGTGGTGAACCTGGAATGGTTCCGTTGCAGCCTTCCCCTTTTTTGGTGTGTTTTTACCTCCGTCAGTAGCGTCGTTTCCATCTTGCTGGCTGGCAAGGGAGCCAAGAAAACCACGTTCCAAAGGAAGACGGGACGGAAATAGACGAGACGTCAAATCATATGCTTTCGTCGATTGTTGTTGGCTTTCTCGTTTTTTGTTGCTTTGCCATTTCCAAGCCTCCTTCCGCTTCGCGCGCTCCAATTACGATGGCCAGTAAATACGAAATATGTTACAAATAATAATGCTTTTCAGACCGCTTCTTGTCCGTCCGTCTTTCCCTTTTTACAACGAAACTCAACTACCTGTTAAAATGCCTCAGCAAAGGAAAAAAGACACATTGTCACGGACCTCAGCTTGCATTGATTGTTTGGTTCGCGTCCGTTCTACCGTTCTACCGTTTCACAGTCATCACTGTGTGATAGAGACGGGCCGGCTTGATTTTCTTTTCTTCCCACTTCCACTCCGCTCTGACAACGACCGGGCTGATGTGATGTTCTCCCAATAAAAAGTGCCAGCGTACGTAACAAGTGACTTGCTATCACAAAGTCACAAACCCATTCGACCCAACTGTGGAGCAAAAGCATCTACGAGAATGCCACGATCTAACCTGGACCGAACGAGGCGGGCTATGTCTAGACTACCCCCTCTCCCTATATCTAGACTACCTAACCACTTTAGGAAAAGGTTTCCCAAAATTTACCACCGCACAAAAAATGGCAAAGGAACAACCTACGCACTTGTAGTCAACAAATGGAAGCCGACCCGTCCTGTTGCCAACGACAGTGTTTCTTACTTAGTAAGCAATGTAGTCCTGTCAAGAACCAGGAAACAATGAAGGCCTTTTCCTCTTCGAAAACTTCCAGGTTTGCGCAAGTGCATTTCTTGAAAGTGCATTGCCTTGAGTGCAAACCTTTCGACTTTTGCGGTTGGGCTCGGGAACGCGGACGTTGGTCAGCTTCGGTGTTCTTGGAGAAAACCTCGAAAAGAATAGTTTGGGTGCTAACGCATCTTGGTGGTAGTTCTGTATTGGGGTGTTAGCGAGAGATAAAATAAAATCAAACCCTTTGGGTCATGCCCAAAGTGGTTAGGTAGTCAAGATATGGGGGAGGGGGTAGTCTAGATATAGCCCGCCTCGGACCGAACTTCACCTGGAACCCATGGAGTCAATAATGGACCATGATGGGGTCCTGGGGGGCCTGCTAGCAGTGACTAGTCGACTAGTTTTTGCTCTGGAACCTTTTTGAGGAAACTCGGTCCGTTCTCGTCCTACACGATACCCCGGATAGGTACTCTCGTATGGCTCACCTACTTGCCGTGGTCGTACCGCCCTTGTTTTTAGATCTTTCTATGTTTGCTGCGTCGCCATTTTTGTTGCAAACGATTGTCAACAGAATGGGCATTTCGGACCTAGCGAGCCTGAGCCTAATGCCAGTCATATCGGATTGATATTCCTTTCCCGGCCTTCCCTCCGGCGTTGCATCTTCCATAGCCCAACCCCAAGGCACGAAACCATGACCCGAGATTGCGGATGCTTCGAGCGAAGTTTCGGCCTCGCAAAGACGGCCGTTAAAGGTACCCTCGCCCATAATTCTTGCCCTGATACGGAAATCACATCTGCTCTGGGTCAAACAAAATGGCTGGATGGAATTTCCTCCACCAAGCAAACAATCCCATTCTGTATGGTCTCGAGATGCAGGCACAGGCTCCCGAATCCCACATGTACAAAAGTCTCAACGTGAAACACGTTATCTGTGTTACTTGACGGAAACCGAGCGTCCGGCTTGTTTAGAGACAAGTCACTGTCAGTTTTCATCTCATGGCGTTCAAAGCTGATGATCATGATATTGTGGTTCGTCTAAAATGATGACAAAAGAAAAGGAATATTTAACATTGCTGTTCCTGATCGGAGGCCTGTGAAGCCACAGTCCAAGGACTGCAGGCTCGTTACTTACCTTACCCTTGAGGTATCATGCTAGCTCACGGATCCGACATGGAAACACGAGCTACTGTGTGAAGAGGGAATGCTTGCTTGCTTTTTCTTTCCCGAGGCACAAACCTTCGGCTAGTTCCAGGGATTCCATCTCGCAAAAACGGCAAAGCTTCTCCGAGACATCTCGTTCATGTGTCACTTAATGAACATGTATTATACACTACTGGCTCAAGATTTTACCGAGCAATATTGCCATGTGAGACCGACATCGTTAGACTTTCGAAAATCCGAAGGAAAAGTCATGAAAAACAGCGAACAGAGATTACGAGAAATCTCAGTTACGGTAAGAACGGCGTAGAAAAAGCCGGAAAACACATGGTACAAAAGACATATATGACATGAAACTCTACATACTGCTACTTGAAGAGGATAGTCTTAGATATGGTGCTTGGTGACGACAAATTCCATTACTGATCATAACAAACATCCAGAGAGCCGAACAAGGATGGCGGGGAAGCATCATCGTCTTCTTCAATCTCCTCAATAGGGTCGCCGTTGTAGTTGGGCAGTGCCCGTATATCCGCTCTCCCGTCACGGGCCCGTTTTCTCGGCCTACCCCTTTTCCGTTTAAGAGGGACCGGGGCGATGGCTGCCGACGGACGGTCATTGCGTGATGGGACAGAGTGTTTACCCACAAATGGTTTCGGCGGCGCAAATCGGAACTGTTCCCCCGGCTCCGAGGCCCCGAATCGGGACTGCGCTGGTTCAACTACTAGAGACGCGTCTGTAGATGTGGTTACCGAAGCGGCTACTGAGGTCGACTTGGCAAGCGCATTTGACACAGCGATCGTCATGTTCTCGATTGTCTCAGGCTCGTCGTCACTGAGGGGACCTGCGTTAACACCAAGAGGCTCCACGGCAACACTACTCTGACTATTGGCGGGTGGTGTATAATGAGGAATAACGACTTGCTCGTCCGCCGAGGCTGAGTTGGGCTCAGAAGTCATCGATGATGGCCCATTGATCTTTCGGGGGCTTCGAATTGAAGGTTCGATAACAAAGTGTCTCTCATAAGGCTGGGGCAGCTCCGCGTTGGCAGAAGAAGACGTTCCAGCCACTGCAATGTTGCTGTCGTGCCCAGAATGATCATCGTCTCCGATGGATGGAAGGCTGTTTTCATCGTATGGCCGTATTTTTTGAGCTGCATCATATCTTGCTTCAATTAATGCGTTTCGCTCAAACTCCTCACTATCATCGTCCCCGAACACGAATGTCTTCCAAGCATCAATAGGGTCATCGTGATGTAGTCCTCTCGTAAGTTTGGCTGAAGTTGAAACTGTTTGGTTGGAAATAGCAGGTACACGCCGATCTTCCTCATTCATTGTGTTTTCAACGTTCTTTGACGATGTTTCGAGCAAAACTGACAGTCTCCTCCGGTTTGGAGATGGTATCAGGTGTCCAGTATTGCCGACTGGTCTGTCATATTGACCAAGCACATCCGAGTGTGCGTCTGCACTGGAAATCTGAGTTCGAGGCAGGATAATGACACCCTCGCGAGCACGGAGAGGTTGAGCTGGTGGTGAATACACTTCGTGCCTTTCGCTTACCCCAGGACTGATTCTGGGCCGTGCCACCGGCTCATGCGGTTCGAGGTTCGTTGGTGCACCGGGAGCGCAGCTAGACTCCTCCAACCAGGACCTCCAGATTGAGTTCTCTGCTTTCTGTGAGGGGGGGACAGGGGATATTGTTCGTCCAACCTGAGCAACATGGCTCGCAATTTTTGCGGAATCCAGAGTTCCCGAAGAGAGCAGTAAATGACCAGGTATTGCTTGTAAGGGGACTGGATGTAAGATGCTCGGTACCGATGTCACAATATGATGTGTATCATCGCTATCTGTATGTCGTGATGTAGCTTGTCGAAGGGGATAATCTTCCGCATTTGAGGAAGGTTGTCTGCGGGCTCGCTTGCGAGGTGGCGTATCTCTGGTTTCGCGGTCTAAAAAACAGTTCAAGTCAGTACACATTTCTCATGTTGTTCTGGGGCAACAACGTACCACTTGAGCTTCTCATGAAATGCCGATTTCTTTCAGTTGGAGCATCCTGCCTTGCATGCCCGAAGCTTCCACTGCTAATGGTTGAGCTTTCTTTAAGCTGCTTTTCTTGACTTCCAACACGGACTTGCACATCCACCCGACGAAGGGAACGTAAACGTGACGTGTGTTGTTGAGGGTACATGCCCCGATTGCTCTGGAGAATATGCGCCGGCTTTTCTTTCGTTGCTCTCGTAGGTTGAGTTAGGCTTGCTTGCTCTGGCACCAGGCGAGGTAGTTCGTTGACTTGGACAGGGGGCCGACTCCGGCCTGCACCCCAGTCTTTGCTCGCAAGGAGCCTCTGTCTCAACCTCTCCACCTCCTTGGCATTGGTGTTTGACCGAGAAGGCGCTGTGTCCGTAGTGGTGGCTTTGCCAGCTTGCTCCTTCAAGAACTGATCGACTGTTGGTAACAGATACTCGGACTTTGCAGAATCCTCTGCTGTTGGGACACTCGCACCCCATCCCCGTCGCTTATGAGAGGTACCGTAGGAAGAGTTCCGCTCGGGGACATTTGTGTCAGAATGGGGCTCTGGCAAGGCGGAGTTAGACTGAAGGTACGAGATCGGAGGAGGACCGTTCTCCATAGCCTCCCTCTGCTCAGCTGCTCGAATCTTAGCTTTCGCAAAGTACTCCTTCTGACGTTGTTTATCAGCATTGGCTTTGCGGAGTTTACCGCGACTATGGCGGTATAAAGTTCCCTCCGTCCAGTTCATTTTGAAGAACTGGGAAAGTCTTCTGGAGAGAGGTGTCTGCTCGTATGGCCGTGACCCGGACGAAGAGTACTCCATTGGGATAGGAAGTTGTCGAGCATGGATAAAAATATTGCGAAACGTGAATGACTTAAAGAGGGCTCATCAAGGCCGACTAGATAGTATATGAGAATGGTAACGAGACTTCGGTCGGAAAACCGTCGAGCCGGTATCGATGCTATGGGCGTAATTTTTGAACAATACACTCGGCGGCATGGAAGGGGGAGACCTGGAGTTCGGAAAGGGTGGGAAAATGTGAGCAGACAATCTCAGACCAATGAATTTCGACGTCAGCTTCAAATCAAATAAACAAGGAAGCTGCGGTCGTTGCCTATGATCTGTGGTGATTTGAGGTTCCTTCCAAAACTTGAACAGAGAGTCCGAATATGGAAAGTGAGCTCGGTGTAAGTGGGAAGTACCAACGTACCGATGTGTGGCGGGTTTCCACTAAATACTGTGTACACACCCCATAATGAGGCTCACTCCTGCTGTGGCTCAGTTGCCGGTGGAAGGAACTTACAGTAACCTCAAGCCCCCCACCTGCCCCAGTCGGCGCGGGGTCACTGCGGCTTTGGTGGGTCATCTAGAAGCAAGCTTCCGTCCGTCATGTCCCGGCAGCGGGAGGCGGGGAGCACCGACATCGCGGAACCCCTCCACTTCTTCCCTTTTCATCCTTTCCTGCTCCCGTCAGCACTGCGATTCGCAAACCATAATGCGAACAACCACTTCGCGCACCCTACGAATCTTCACCAACTCTCTCATCGCAGGCTTCACCCGACCCAAAAGCTCGACTTACCACCACCAGCCATTTTTTACGCTTCCCACCGCCACCCGTCAACTCCTCCATTCTCAAACCCGCAAGATGGCTTCCTCCAACAAGCACCCGATCCTCCTCAAGAAGTCCGTCAAGCTAGCTTGCATCCAGCTTGCCAGCGGCGCTGACAAGTCCGCCAACCTCTCGCATGCCGCCGACAAGGTGCGCGAGGCCGCTTCGGGCGGTGCCAACATTGTCGTTCTTCCCGAGTGCTTCAACTCCCCTTACGGCTGCGACTTCTTCCCCTCGTACGCCGAACAGCTGCTCCCTTCGCCTCCGACTGCGGAGCAGAGCCCGTCCTTTCATGCGCTCTCCGCCATGGCGCGCGACAACGGCATCTACCTGGTGGGTGGATCGATTCCCGAGGTCGCGATTGAGGAGGGCACAGAGGACAAGAAGACGTACTACAACACCAGCTTGATCTTCGGCCCCGACGGCAAGCTGCTTGCGTCGCATCGCAAGGTGCATCTGTTCGATATCGACATTCCGGGCAAGATCAAGTTTAAGGAGAGCGATGTGCTGTCACCCGGTAACAGCGTAACGCTGGTGGATCTGCCCGACTACGGCCGTATCGCTGTGGCCATCTGCTATGATATCCGGTTCCCGGAGCTGGCCATGATTGCGGCTCGGAAGGGCTGCTTTGCTCTCGTTTATCCGGGCGCGTTCAACACCACAACGGGTCCTCTGCATTGGCGGCTGCAGGGACAGGCGAGGGCCATGGATAACCAAATTTATGTGGCCCTATGCAGTCCTGCGAGGGATTTGAGCGCGGGGTACCATGCATATGGTCACAGCTTAATCGTTGATCCCATGGCGCAAGTATTGGTAGAGGCGGAGGAGAGCGAGACGATTGTGAGTGCCGAGCTCGATGGGGCAAAGATTGAGGAAGCAAGGTCGGGCATTCCTCTGAGGGATCAGCGGAGGTTTGACATTTATCCTGATGTGAGCCAGGCGAAGGTGAGTTCTTGAATCGCCGGGCTTCGTTGTCGTGTAATGATGTGAATGTCACATCCTTATCATTTGATCATCGTATGACGGTCACATCAATTCCTGATTTGTACATAACATTGCGAGGCGAATCCGATATATTTTGGTTCAAACAGTTCCTCGCGCGCAGGGTTACCCATGAGGGTGACGTTTCCAGAACACCCTTTCCCTGCGCTGACGCCGCTATCTTTGATCGTGGACAGACGCACTTCGGAAATTCGCCGACATATGTCGACTTTTGCCCCTTTCCCAGTCCTGAGATCTGTGCTATGCAGTTCTGACCACGCAGATTCGGCGCCATGACCCCGTCATATCGTCATCACCAGTTTTTGTTTGTCTTTGATCAAAGTAAACTCTTTACTCAAGAGCCTTCTTGGCGAAGGTGGGGAGAATGAAGCTGGCCTTGTGGATCTCGGAGTTGTAGTAGCGGCAGAGCTTCTCCTCCTCCTCCTGGGACCAAGAGCGGAGAGGAACCTTGACGTTGGCGTTGGGGTCCTTGGAGCAGACCATGAAGCCGATCTGACCGGAGGGGTAGGTGGGGATGGTGGTGTAGGCGTACTCGGCAACGGGGAAGACCTCCTTGCAGTCCTTCTTGAGCTTGGTGATGAGGGGAAGGTGGAGCCACTGGTTCTCAGCTGTTTGCACGAAGATATTAGCAATTGGGGGTTCCAAGAGGCGCGAGGTTGTTTGAGACTTGACAAAGGAGATGATTGAAGACAACGACAGCGCAAACAGAAGCCGAATCCAAGAGGAAACTTCGCCATGTGTGAAAGTCGAGACGAACTACCACTAGGTAGGTTCCTGAGGGACCGCATAGGACTGGAAACAGGCAGGTTGAATGCCCGGCCTAAAACCAATTCCACTCAGGGCTCGATCTTTCTCGAGTAAAGGAGACGTACAACCTTGTGTGGTAATAACACCACCCTCGCGGAGGGCGTCGTGGAGAAGCTGGAAGTAGGGCTTCTGGAAGAGAGACTCGGCGGGACCCTCGGGGTCGGATGAGTCGGTGATGATGACATCGAAGGTGTTCTTGAAGTCCTCGAGGAACTTGAAGCCATCGCCAACGTGGACCTTGACCTTGGGGTGCTCGAAGCCAGCAGACATGTGGGGGAGGAACTGCTTGGAGAGGCGGATGACAGCCTGTGACGGAAGAATGGCGGTTAGCAAGCGGATCAGGCGCAGGGTCTTTGGTATGCGGATCGGGATCGAACTTACCTCATCGATGTCGCAGAGGATGGCCTCCTCAACGACGTCGTGCTTGACGACCTCACGGAGGACACCACCGTCACCACCGCCGATAACGAGGACCTTCTTGGGGTTGGGGTGGGAGTTCATGGCGAGGTGGGTGATCATCTCCTGGTAGGAGAACTCATCGCGCTCGGTGCACTGGATGACGTTGTCGAGGACGAGGACGTTGCCATGGTCAGTGGACTTGAAGATCAGGACATCCTGATACAAGCTCTTCTCGTGGTGGAGGACCTTCTCGACCTTGAGGGTCATGGCCTGGCCAGGCCACATGTTGGAGATCTCGCGGAACCAGCCATCTGTTCGGTATGGTTAGCCAGTCTGCCCATTGTCTAACGCAAGCCGAGTCCATATGACACCAATGTGCCATCCAGTCGTATCAACATGCATTCTGTCCTGTTGTCTTGGTGTGAATGGGATGTATGATGGGGTGCATCGGGACGAGGAAGAACATGTCATGCCGGCGCAATAGCCACGGGCCCTCGGCAGCAACAGCATCGTGATCCCCCGTATCACAGTGCTGCAAGACAACAAGACATCCAACGTTCCATTGGTGTTGTTCATGATTGCGCACACCATGTGTCGTGAAGCTTGGTGCAGCCGACTCATGGAAGGGTTCTCGTTGCGTGTGCCACAGGAGCGCCGTGTTTGGCATTGCACATGGCGGGGTTGCGATAGCTTGCGGCCCGCAATGAGGTAGTTCCCGTCGATGGGATTATGGGATGGAGGGGTAACACTTGGTGCAGCCAGAGACAACCATCACGGGAGAACACGTACCCTGGATCGTGGGGTGAGTAATTTCGGACATCTTGAGGGATTGATTGATACCGGTCGACCTGGAGAAGAAGCGGTTGTTGAATTGGCAGGAGGATGTCAGGATTCGAGTCCGGGGGAAACAGCGACGGAGTAGGAAAACCAGCATGAAAACTCAATTCCCTTCCTTCCTGAGAGGAGGGAGGGGCCAGTGACCACGCACAATTCGCACTCTAAAAAGGTCCAATCACACCAATCACGCAGGTCCAGACGACAAAAATTTTCTGGACCTTCCCCCCTCCCAGCACTACGACCTATGAGCGAATAAAAACGTGGTTGACAGTGCAACTGTGGAGAGGCATTGTACACAAGCCGTTACGTGTACATTTAGAATGTGCAGCTGTGCGTGCAGATTGCGTGCAGAAGCACGTGGAAAACAACTGGGCGGTTGCCAGGAGCAACTGTGGACAAAACTTCGAGCTTCGTGAGGACAGGACAATTTCAACCCAATGCCAAGACCACGATAACGTACGACCCCAGAAAGTCTCTAGCGTGTAAACCTTCAAGTTCTGAAAGCACGCGCCCTTTTGGTTTCTTTTTTTTCTTCCTTTTCATGTCTTGTGGGCTACAAAGGGAGACCCGATGTTTCCGTTTTGATACGTCGAACTTCAGCTATATCTATCGGACGTTTTCGACAGGTTCAGTCAGTTCAAGGTGTTCGAGGTGTCTAGTGACCTATCAAACCTCGAGCAAGATTCCACGGCGAATAAAGGCAACAAGGATTAACGAACTTGTTCGTGGAATGACTGAATATCTCTATAGGACCAGAAGTGACCATTGACATTTTCATTCAACTCAACTACATGTACCTGTACACCATGACCACGATATCAAAATAGCCATGGTTCCATATACGGCACACTGAATCTGGCATGCTGTGGGTCATCCCGGGAGCTCGGCCGATAAAGACAAAACACGAACAACATGTATTTCCCACCACCGCATTTCCTTTTTCTCCCAAAACGGTCAGCGGCTTCGGGCGTAGCGTCACCGCTGGCTTAGGACATGGCGCTTGTGCTGTGTATCATCACTGCTACAGAAGGCTGGGTAGGGAAGACTATTTGTGCCACATACCGCGAGCGGTCAGGCGAAGGAGACATGGCAGGTTGAGGCCAGAGAGTTACCCAAGCTGAAGGACTCAATAATGCGTTGAGCAATGCTTTGGATCCGCCCACGCTCAGAAGTCCCAGCTTGTTCCCAGCGATCTCATGATGTTAAAGGTTGAGAACCACGGTGGACGAGATCCGGCATAAGTACGGCGTAGACATTGTGCTTCAAGTTCTTCTCCCTCGACGTTGCAAGCTTCGGACAGCCCAGGTGCTCTCCACTACACTTCGCACAGCCCGAGGTCTTGTCTTCCACTATTCGAAAGAGAACAATTTCACAAGAGGCTGAACGGAAATTATTCCCAATACACGTTGCTGATGTCGATCTCACGCATGGATCGGGCTTGATGAAGACCGCGGAGCGAGATAGATGGAGGGTGAAAAGCCGCAGCCAGCACGTTTCATGTCGTACAACTTCGATCACAGACTGCAACCAAGCGAAGGTCGAACCTCAATATCCTAGAATTCGGGTTAACGAACCACACCTGACATCTTATTCACAGACAGCACAGTAAAATTTGAGTGTGGGTTGTACCATGGGCTGGGAGTAGTGTAGAGCTTGTAGCTTACTCTCCACGTGGATGTGGTGCTTGGGTTGCCAGATCGGGATGTGAATCGAAAACGGTAAGATATGCAGTCGGGGCAGCGTACGACAAAAGTCTCAAAAGTTCATATGGATTCAGGACTCAGGAGGGTATTATACTCTACCTCTGGTTTGATTGCTAGCTCGGTACATTGTGGGATGCTGACAATAGAGGAATAACAGATTAAAACTAATAAAATTATAAGCAATAGAAAGAATAGATATAACAGAATTACAGAGAATCAATACATTTCTTATACTAAAATTCACAAAACTCAGGTATCATTTTGTAGCCATAACATGAATAATAGGTATAATCTTTGCAATAATTACAACCTGCAACCGTTGAGATATTAAATGTACTAAGTGTAGTATATAGTTTTCTAATATGGCCTCTTATACCTTCTTGATTGCTATTTTAAAAGTGTTCTCAATCAGTCTAGTAGAATATTCGTATTTAATCTAACTCTTTATCCAAGTCTATGCATTTTTGATGAAATTGAAATTTAGTAAATGTAGTTTAAGTAATAACGTTTATACTTGTCACGGGTTGGCATTAGCTATATAGTGTGCATTCTAAGTTCTGCCTTGCAAGCAGAACATCATCTTATCTTTTGTAGGTTTAGCTGTCTGGGCATATGCATCCTAGCCTGTCATAATATTAACAAAAGCTTAATCTATAAAAGCTTTTCTTAACTTCAAAGTATAAGCTAGAGTATTATCCTATATAATTACGAAAGTTGAGTATTATGATTAAAATTACTAAAAGAAGAAGTAGGATTCTTTCTTAGTATAAAATACTTATAATAATACTCCAAACTTTAAAATCTTTAAATAAAAACGTACCTTTCATTTTACTAACAAAGGAAGCTTAGAATATTTATCTCCTAAATTGCAATTTATACTAAGCAAAGTTGTTGATCTTCTTTTTCTTAAAAGGGTAAGAAAATAGCAACCTTTACAAATACTATTTATCTATATTTTATTAAACTAAATCCAAAACTCCTATTCGAAAAAAGTAAGACAAGCGTATTTAAAAGCGAATTTGAAACAGGAATGGCGAACTTTATTGTTTATAAGTAAGTATATAAATTATTTAACGTAACAAATACTATACTACGCTATCGCAACTCTAATTATACGTTTCTTATAAGATTTGAATTAAAGGATCTAATTCTTAAATCCAACCTACAACAAGAACCTTTTCAGCTCTAGAAGAGTGTTTATATATTGAAAGAAACGTCGCAAATATTATCTGAAACACAAAGTAAGCAACCCCTATTAAAGGACGTAGGAATGTTAATTACTAAGTAAATATTTAATACTTACCTATGTTTTAATTAGAATTTAAATACTATTAATCTTTGGTAATAATAATAGTATTACTGTGACAGACTGGGCATCCGTTGCAACTATATAAGACCACTTGAGCAACCGAATTGCCAGCTTTAGTTACTTATATCCTTTTGCGGAAACACGGAGCGTTATAGCGTACTGGTGAAATGCGTCGCCGTGATAATTACTTACTTAATAATTAAATGTATATACTTAACTATAACTTTATATTCTATTTTTGTATACTAATACAATACTTTACAGAAAATACATTCTTTTTACATGGAAGAAGTAGATGTTTTTTTCGGAAAAGGATTAATAATAATTAAGAATTTAATAGTATTAATTGATAATAAAAAAGAAGTACTAATTCCAGGCAATAAGGAAATTAGTAGCCCTTATAATAATAAAGTAGTACGCAACTAATATTATCGCATTGTAATTAGAAAAGAGTAAAACCTATCACAGGATTAGCCTGTGATGAGTGCAGCACGTGACCACGTGCCACGTACGTTGTGCGTGGCCAGCTATGCCCTCTATAAGACTTGGCTGGCACACTACTTTCTTCCTCCTCTCCTCGTACAACTACACATATCTATATCCATACCTAACGTCGAGTCCATCCGTGAGAAAACCTTTGAAGCTGGGTACTAATAACTGAGCGAGGAATTAAGGATAAATATTACAGAATATTTATGATAGATAGATAAATAGATAGTATAATAGGCTAGGGTGCATATGCTCAAACGGCCAAACCTACAAAAGATAGGATAATGTTCTGCTTGCAATGCAGAACTTGAAATGCACACTATATAGCTAATGTTAACCTATGGCAGATGGATAGTTTGCTTGCAGAGTAGAACCCCTAATTTAAGTACGAACTAGAAGTTGCTTTTTTAACTAATTTACTTATTAAACCCGCGGCGTAGAGCCGTAGAGTTAATTAGGACGAAATGTTACTAATTTTCTTTTAATTAATTACATTATCTTATTTTGCAGTGTAGAGCCTTAGAGGTTAATTAAGATAAGAAGTTAATACTTTTATTGACAATTTTAGAGCATTTGGCCGTAGTGTATAATTTTATTTAAGTGCGATAAAAACATTACTTATTATTTGCAAGAATAGATGGAACTATATTATAGTTTATAAATTTAATATTATTACCCTAATCAATTAAGACTATTTTTTATATTAATTTCTTTTTGTCTGAATGAAAATTAGTCTATTAGAGAGTAGTAATACACTTTTACTACCTAGAATTGGATTGGATTTATTTCCCATTTAATACTAAAAGTTTCTTCTACTTCTGAATTATAAATAGTAGTAGGAAAGCGGCTCTTTTTTTTTCCATTATTAATTATCAATATATTAGTTAATACTTCCTGCCTCTAAAATAACTATAGTTGACTTACTAACTAATAAACTAATTAAATACCTTTCCGGACATAATACTCCATAAACTATAAATAATTTTACTTTTGTTTGCTGTAATGCTCTAATTGGCCTATAATAATAGCACCAATATAGAGATGCTACAGTGAACTATGCACTTGTAGCAGATCGGAGCGGAAGTGGTAGGAAGTACGATAGCAGTGCTAAAGGAAGCAGCGTAGTACCAAAGACAATAGAAGGATGTTGTAAAAGAGATCTTAAAGAGAACTCTGCTCTCAAGACAAAAGAGTACAGTAAACTCTACACTATGAGAAACAACTATTATAGTGAACTCTGTACTATAGGAGTAGACTGTATTATATTGCTTTGATTGTGCTTGCTTGGTTGCTTAAGGAGTGACTAACTAAAGGAGAGAAGAGGTCTTTATTGTCACAGGTTGACATTGGCTATATAGTATGCATTCCGAGTTCTGCCTTGCAAGCAGAACATCGTCCAATCTTTTGTAGGTTTGGCCGTCTGGGCATATGCACCCTAGCCTGCCATATTTATATACACGAACGTTAAGTGTCTAGAAGCTT